AGACGAGTGAGTGTTACATGTCGAACTCGGCTGCAACAAAATATAAATCACCAGAACGACACTTATCGCAGGAGTTGACGCCGTGAATATAACGCTTGAATAATAACAGAGATGTGTCAGCACATCTCCTGTGTCAGGTGAGTATGACGGGCTCAACATAGTCCAGGCTGATTGGAGCTTTTGTTCCCAGTAACTGAATCTACATCAACAAGTAGAAATGTTACAAATTACGATTTAACATTCGTGATGTGTCCTCCAGTCCAAGATGGTGTCTCCTCCTCCTCGGGTACCGAGTATTCTATAAACGTTATATATTTATTTCGGGGAAGGATGAGATATTAAATTTACATTTTTGTGATAAGTTGGAATTAAATTTATCTGTATAATATATGCATAAATCATCCCCCAGACTGTACGCATTAAATGTTTCTGAACAAATGTAAATTCACTCTGTTGCTCAATGTTACTCAATGTTTTCATTTTTCATAAATGAGTGGAAGAATCGGTCTCAATTCTTTCATTTTAAATCTAATTTTAGTTACATGTTAATATTTATACATAACAAAAATTGTCTGTTGTGGTGTATGTGGATTATACTTAAAATTAGGTAAATTATATATAATAGGTGGGGGGAAATTTCCTACAACGACTGAGGGTCGAGAGAGAAGCAGAGGAATATGTTGGGCAGCATAGTCGAGTTTAGATGATAACAGAGAAGGGCAAATACAGGCGGGTACATCTATCAGCCCCAGAGGAATTATGGAACAAGACTAAGTTAGCGAACACTTTACAGTCTTACGGTATTCATCTTGCAGGTGAACAATGTTTGAACAAGATTTACGGGTGTCAAAGATCAACCACGAGTTTGTCAGAATTCCTCAACATGAAACCGTGGGATGAGGCACTGCATACCACCGAGTATAAATCATATAGCAAATCTTGGTTGTAGAGAAAATTAAGGCATGTTTGGTGGCGGTCCAGGACGACATGCGCAGGAAGTTAGTATTAAGTAATTAACAAAATAAGGCACAAAACTGGGAAGACTATGGTAGCCCCGTCAAATATGGGGGATATTCAAAAGGCGCTTTATGTCCCTAAGAATGCCAATACGAGAACAAAAGTGCACAAGGCGAAAAACATCAAAGGCATCCGATTCATCAAGGATTCTATTGAGGGACAAGTAACCACGAGGGACAGTCGGGAAGCAAGACACACGCTCGTTCTAAAAGTCCGAACATTCAACAAGGGTATGCACGACCGTAAGAGGGACTATGCAGTTTGGGCAATAAAGAGCAAGGCAGCGCTCCATTAAGTGCTCGTGAGTTAAGCGAGTATGGCCAATATGTAACCTCGCCAGAGCCGTTTCCCACCATCGGTTACTGTGGTAGGAGGACGGCCATGGGGGACACACTACCCTTAAGAGTACACAGCTTCTTACTAGTAACAGAAGACCAGCGATCCTGCCAACGGGCACAGATTGAAGAATGAATAACTGGGTAGACGTCTAAATAAGGTACACCTTTGCAGGGAACCGGACAAGTGCGGATAGCCTCCTTAATGGCAGCGTCCGCACGCTCATTAAGGAAACATTAATGTGGGCGGAACCCAGAAATACTCGACTGTTATAAATCTGCTGGAGATAAACAGCCAATATTGAATTTCGACGACCACAGGATAGATAGGATTAAAGGACTCCAGAGCCATGAGGGCACTGCGAGAGTGAACCACATCAACAAAGGAAGAACTGCGGCGAGAAAGCAGTTGTCGAAGAGCATACAAAATTGCACAAGGTTCTGCCTTGAAGATGCCAGTCTTCGGAGGCAGGCAATACTCAGGTGCAGTCAGGAAATACAATGGAGTAGCCTACACCACCAGCAGACTTAGACAAATCTGTGAAGATGGAGCGAGAGTGTGAAGAAAAGTGAGCAAGGAAATGGGGTTTCAGAACTGATGGAGGGGTAAAAGCTTTAGTCATGTGGGTCAAGGTTCTATTAAACTAAGGAAAAAGGACTCTCCATGTGGGCAAGCATGGAATGATACGAGGAGAAACACCGGTAACACGAATCGAGAGAGAACATCGCAAGTGAGACATGCGTACAGAAAGGGGTAGGTGGTGAAAGGAAACAGGGCCGACAGGGAGGGGTAATGGTCAAAGTACGACATAAGCGAGAGTGAGGGTGTTGTAGAGACCGCGCAAAGTAGCGAAGACGGTAGCGATCACAGCGATCCTGTAGAGACAGGATCCCAGTCTCACCATACATGCACAAGGGTCAAGGGTAGGGGTCGAACAAAAGGCATCAGAGCTAAGACCGAGCCCAGTATGGTGAAGGTCATCAAGACGACGAAGGGTGGAGGAAGAGGCAGACGAGTAAGCAGAACAGCCATAATCGAGTTTAGACAGCACACAAGAGGAATGTAAAGAGGAGTGTGCGTGCATCAGCCCCCAAGATGGGACAAGACCTTAAGTGAGTTAAGGGCAATAGAGCATTCAAGTCGGAGGTAGGACAAGCGAGGTCAAAGATTAACCCCAAAAGTTTAGCAGAATCCTTATACAAAAAGAGGATTACCATAAAAGAGAGAGAGAGAGGGGGGGGGGACGAAGAACGACCTGCTTCCGAGCTAAATGTTAAAATTAGCGCCCTACATAATTGTGTAGCAGGTCAATAGGAAGGAAAACGGCCAGTTAGCCGAGAAGACAGGAACCCCCCCCCCTCCCCCTCCCCCTCCCCCTCCCCCCCCCCCACCATCTGGGTATTTGGAATTAAGGAACTACCGTCTCAAAAAGATGGTTAAACGATATTCATTTTAAATCCATGTTACACGAGCTGTGTGTTTAAGGTAATTTTGACCCTGGTCAGCCCCTAATATGCTGAGTGAACATTACTATAACTTACTGGTTTAGTTAGATATACATTAACTTTCCATCAAATTATCTTATCCTAGTTTTATCCCCAGTGTTTTGCCAAAATCTAGGTGCTCTCATCTTAAGTTTTGTCTGTGGTTGAAACACCTGTTCACTCCAGCAGTTGTGACGAGTCTCTAAATCATCAAAAAATGATACAAATAAAACTTCTAAATGTAAACTGAACAGTCCGTAATGACACTGTCTACATGTCATACTGTTACTGTGACATGCCAGGAATGTGCCGAGTTTTATTTAAACTCGCTATTATAAATGTACAAATATTTATTTATAAAAGTTGATTTTATTTGAGTGCGAAAATCGTCCCAAAATGTTACAATTTACTTTGTTTCTGTAATTTTAATTGATAAATTTGTCATGGCCAGCGGGTATATATCTCCCGTATTTTACACTATTCGAATGTCTTCATCAGACATTATAATACAACAAAGGAATTCTTGTTCATTGTTTAGTAATGATAGAGACGGCCTCTTCTACTTTTCCATCGTAAATAAAGAAGCAAAAGACTCCTACTATCCTTGCCATCCCGTCTTCGTTATAAGAAACTATTTCTTGTTTATCTATATAATTCTTTAATGTTCCCCTTGTCAGTTTTTCGATATTGAATCTATAATTATGCAAAATACAATTAAGTGAATCTGATAAAAATGTAATCTTGGAGATCATTTATGACTGTATTTGAAATATCGTTAATTATTTTTCAGCATTATGATATACAACTCAGTGAACCAAACATGTTAAATGTTTTAGGCCAAGCAGAATTCGCCCCCCCCCCCCAAGTCCACTACGGGCTCACCATACAACCCGTCCTCGAGTCCATTACATCCAGCGGTCGACCCCACAGACGCATTCATAAATTTTAACATGCTGTTCATTCAAAACAGGCCTTTCTCAAATATAAATTAGTGTTATAACATACTAGCATATTATGCATATAGTATAGGCATAGGTTAGGTTAGGTGTTTAGGTCCTGTTGGCGATTATTTGTATTTGTAGTACGTGGGTGAAGCATTTACAGCGTTGGGGTTCGAATAAAATTCGTCTGTAGAGCATTTGTTCCACAAGTGTTCGAACGTCAGCAGTTGAGAGTCTCAGACCGTCCTCCAAATAAAGACCCAAAAGTGATTCCATGCACCCGGCAAACCCTGTTTATAAGTGCAAAACGGTTTACACACGACTCAACTGATTTCGTTCGATCACTTCCGGAAGAAGTGCTTCGCTGACGAATTTTGTGGGAACCACAATGCTATAAATGCTTCACCTACGTACTACATATACAAATAATCGCCAACAGAACCTAAACACCTATCCTAACCTATGCCTATATATGCTCAATATGCTATTATAATATTAATTTATTTGAGAAAATTCCCGTTTTGAATGAACAGCATGTTAAAATTTATGAATGCGTCTGTGGGGTCGACCTCTGGATGTAATGGATTTAAGTCGAGGACGGGTTGGAGTCTTGTGTAAACCGTTTTTCATTCGGGTGCATGGACTCACTTTTGGGTCTGTTTGGAGGACGGGCTGCACCATAGCCCGTCCTACTTGGAACTTGGGGTGCGAGCAGCTGAACCTTAGACAACAATTCCCCTCCCAACATTCAATTGTTTCTGGTGCTGTAACCAAATCGTTCACTTTTTCCATTTAATATTTTTGTGAGAGTGTTGGAACCGATTTCTAATCAGTACTTGATGGCATGCACAGTCTTGAACCCTATCTTGAGGTTATCTTGAGATGATTTCGGGGCTTTAGTGTCCCCGCGGCCCGGTCCTCGACCAGGCCTCCACCCCCAGGAAGCAGCCCGTGACAGCTGACTAACACCCAGGTACCTATTTTACTGCTAGGTAACAGGGGCATAGGGTGAAAGAAACTCTGCCCATTGTTTCTCGCCGGCGCCTGGGATCGAACCCAGGACCACAGGATCACAAGTCCAGCGTGCTGTCCGCTCGGCCGACCGGCTCCCTAGTAATCATATATACCACTGACGGTAAATAGGAATAAATTGTACACCCTGTACATTAATTAGGATCCAGGGAGCACAAGTGTGCTAACCTGGTACTATACAATAACTTACTGCAGAATATTTCTTGACGTCCAAATAGAGATCGGTGTTGGGCACACGACCAAGCCGAGCTGTTGTGGGCTTCTGGGAGCGGGCGAGGAGGACCCCCACAGACACCACGACGCCTAGTATCAGACCGTAGTCAATGTCAATGAGTATGACACCGAAGAATGTTGCAATCCATATCATTGCATCAGTGCGAGACACTTCCCACATAGTCTTCGCATCGATCACTTGCAGAAACATCCCTTTTAAGGCAACTACGATGATTGGCGAGAGAACACACTGCCATAAAAGAAAAAGATTACAATGAGTGAAATTAAACTTTTTTTTTTGTTGGGGGGGAGGGGGGGGGGGGGGGAGGGAGGGGGGGGGGGGGAGGGGGGGATAAGTCAGTCAGATTTTGCTACAATAAATATTGTAGCAAAGCTATATTATTGTAACGAGACTGCACAGAAAAAAATCACCTTAGGTTTCTATATCTTATTTACGTGTTGTGTTAAACAGGCGTTCTCTGCAAACTTCATTTTCGTTTTCTTATTTGTATTATTTGTTCTCCATTATGTGACAGTGATTTAATATTTTATGGCTTAATGTATTTCAGTGTGGCTGGCGCTACACAGTGTTTCCAAGTGTTATAATACAAAGAGTACTGGGAAGACGGGACACCACGAGCGTAGCTCTCATCCTGTAACTACACTTAGGTAATTACACATACAAAAATTTTAATTAAATTTAATTTTCAATTCAATTTAACATTTAAATTTTATTAAAGTAAAGTTAAATACGCATATTTCAAATATGACCGGACAAGAACAGTAGTGAATATATGAGCAGCAAGAATAAATTTACAGAAGGTGAAGGAAAGACCCCAATTGATGTGCAAGTGAATTAAAAGCCAAATTTTTGGCAAACCGTCCTCAGATGAAGTCCATTCTATCCAGCGGTCAATCCCAAAGACGAATTCATCATTCTGAATATTTAACATTCTGTTCACTCAAAATAGAACTTTTGCCAATTATAAATTATAATATATTAGCATATTGTGCATATTTAGGGACTGGTTAGGTTAGGTGTTTAGGTACTGTCGCGATTATTTGTATTTGTAGTACGTGGGTGAAGCATTTACAGCGTTGTGCTTAGAAGAAAAGTCGTCAGTGAAGCACTTGTTCCGGAAGTGTTCGGACGTCATCAGTTGTAAGTCTTAAGTAAACCGTTTCTCATTCATAAACACCTGGGGGTTTGGCGGGTGCATGGACTGGACTTTGGGTCTTTGTTTAGAGGACGGGCAGATTTTCGGATGTAACCTGCATCCTTTCTCAGGGTGCTGTATACAATGTTTTGGAACATTGTAATGCAATTTCGGTTACATCCGTGATTTTTGTTTTTAATACACTTACACATATACTGGAATTTAACTTAACCTTCATTCAAACACAACGCCATTGTAGCAAGTTTGTTCATAAATTTACTACCGAAGTCTTGCCTAAATATTTGGGACAAGGAAGATCATGAAAATTTTTCAAAGAAACCGTCAAGTGAACAAGAAATGGTTCGTTCGTTTATCTTGACCATAATTAATCCCTGCTGCATAATACTTCTGAAACAAGCATTATCACAATGAGAATAAAACGTTTACAGGCAGCAGGCGATGAGTCACAATAACGTGGCTAAAGTACATTGACCAGACCACACCCTAGAAGGTGAAGGGACGACGACGTTTCGGTCCGTCCTGGACCATTCTTAAGTCGATTGTATCACAATCATTTACAGGCAGAACCATACTGTGCTCTACAAGCACCACACCCATTCATACATGCTGCAAAGTACCATACTGTCTCAAAGAAGCACAATACTTACATATGGAAGCGTTTCAAACAAGGGACCGACGAAGAGGAGGACAAAGACCAGGACGGAGCAGCTCACAAAGGAAGCCATTTGGGTCACCCCGCCAGCACTCTCCTGGATGAGTGTGCGAGCAAACGACGAAGCGACGGGACCACAGCCAAAGAATGACCCAAAAATATTGCTCATGCCCTGAAAATGTAGCATATCTTTAATAAATATCTACCATATGTGCCAGAATATTTAATAGAATATTTTATAATTGTTTGTACATTAAATTTAAATGGTGTTTTTCAAGTAATTTTGTTGGGAAAAATTGTTTGTGCAAGTACAAAATATTCTGTTTGTGGACAAATACCACGTGTTCGGCCGACGGCAAATATGGAAGACTGAACATTTTTATACAAAGACGCTTTTTCTACAGAGTTGTCTGCATGTGGCAACACATTCAGGTGTTCCAAAATTTCCTGTTTAAGACATCCGAGTTCCAATTCTAATTTATTTACAGTAATTGCTCAACCACGTCTTAATGGCTCGAACACAGTTTAAGACGTGTGAAGATTAAGGGTCCTCCATAGGTATATACGTATTGTTTATGGCAACTAGATTATAGAAGTGTATGATTGTCAAGATTTGCTAATAGATCTCTGTTATAATACCAAGGTATATCTCTATTATTACCTAGTGACACGATAACTCATTATTATACATAAAAGTAGTTATTAGAAGAGGTATGGGTCGTTCTCGGCGCGTGACTGGCGCCTTGCGGTGGACGACTAAACAATATTTTCACAACGTTTATATTTTCCTGGAAGGAAAATACATTCAAAACACCAGATAGCTTTTCTGCACACACCTGTTCAACAGGTGTCCTAGCTAAATAAGTGTTGGAGTGTGAAACTCTGTTTCCTATACGTCTCTTGCCTGAGGGTCTCTGCACTACCACCGGGTCACCCTTGGTGGTGCTGCCCGACCTTGGAGTGGCAACATGTTCGGCTCCAGCTCTGGTCCAGGCCGGTTCAACACCTCGCAACCATTTCCATCACTGAACCTCCCATTTCCATCCTCGGTCTGTGTCATACTGGACACATGAGCAACACAGTGGTGTGGCCTTACCGGTGAAGTACTTCTACACTCCCCTCAGCCTACAAAGAACTTACTGTCAGTTTTCCACCTGACATTGCAACAAGTTGACAGGCTCTCTCTCCCTGTCCAACTGTCAAACTCAAGCCGCTCTTGCTCTACCGACTGAACTATCTGGGAGAAAACCCTCTTCTACAAGTACCTACGCTCACCCTACTGAGCTTGGGGTCTCTCCCTAGGTCTCGCTACTCTATCAAAGACTCGAGCGAAACTTTTGACATCTGTCAAACTACCTTGTCCGTTTCTGCCAAGCTAGACATCTTTGCCTTCATACCTTGTCACCGGGTTAAGTGCACTAGGGTGGGTTTGGCTTCCCTTCCCTGTGTGAGATTGCCCCCTTGCAACCTGCACTTGAGCCAGCACTGACTTGCTGCGCTCTCACCTGCAGGCTCGAACTCGGCCTTGCTGTCATTTCTGAAAACGGGAGCCTCTGCTCAACCTCTCTAGTGACTACAGTGAATTCTTCCTGGGGTTGTACAGTCCCCCTTCTGGCAAGAAATTCCATCACCTGTAACTATCGATGAATTACTCCCCCTTTCTAAAGAAGTCAACTCGGATCCTCGGCTGGGGGCGCGACCTCACACTAAGATCCAAAGGTGTATTAACAACTACACTCTCATGACACCCTTGACAACTGCATTGTCGCCTAATGAGACCTCTCACGCTTGAGGTCACTTCTAGAAGTTTCGTCTACCCTCAGGTTGGTGGTGTCTTGCACCTCAGGCAGATCCTGAGTGCACCTTTGCAACCACTGTTGCTCGCTGGCTTGGTGTCCTCGACACCTGCTGCTGACAACCCTCATCCACGAGAGTGTCAATGTCCACTGGCTAGCAGCTGTGGAAAGCCAGATAGATTTCCCCATATCTACCATGACATACCTCTTTCATACAGTGTGTGTGTGTGTGTACTCACCTAGTTGTGTTTGCGGGGGTTGAGCTCTGGCTCTTTGGTCCCGCCTCTCAACCGTCAATCAACAGGTGTACAGATTCCTGAGCCTATCGGGCTCTGTCATATCTACACTTGAAACTGTGTATGGAGTCAGCCTCCACCACATCACTTCCTAATGCATTCCATTTGTCAACCACTCTGACACTAAAAAAGTTATTTCTAATATCTCTGTGGCTCATTTGGGCACTCAGTTTCCACCTGTGTCCCCTAGTACGTGTGCCCCTTGTGTTAAATAGACTGTCTTTATCTACCCTATCAATCCCCTTCAGAATCTTGAATGTGGTGATCATGTCCCCCCTAACTCTTCTGTCTTCCAGCGAAGTGAGGTTTAATTCCCGTAGTCTCTCCTCGTAGCTCATACCTCTCAGCTCGGGTACTAGTCTGGTGGCAAACCTTTGAACCTTTTCCAGTTTAGTCTTATCCTTGACAAGATATGGACTCCATGCTGGGGCTGCATACTCCAGGATTGGCCTGACATATGTGGTATACAAAGTTCTGAATGATTCTTTACACAAGTTTCTGAATGCCGTTCGTATGTTGGCCAGCAAAGTTGTGTGTGTGTGTGTGTGTGTGTGTGTGTGTGTGTGTGTGTGTGTGTGTGTGTGTGTGTGTACCTAAGTGCACACACAATAATAATAATAATATATTATATATATATATATATATATATATATATATATATATATATATATTACATATATATATATATATATATTATATATATATATATATACACACACACACACACACACACAATTATATGTAATATATATAATCAACAAAAACAATAATGTGGGTGTAGCTACCAGGATCCATTTTCCCAGTGAGCAGAAAAATCCTTCTTAAATGACTAACTGAAAAAGCTAAGTCAAACCCGTGAGGTCCTCACCTGGACGACAGTAACGACCTCGCACGTTAACAAATAATAGTTTTAACCAATTTTATAACAATTACAGTACATTGTACTACGGAAATAATTAAATATTTTACGATTTGCTCAACCCAAAATATTCTCACCAGAGCGTAAAGTTCTTGCGTCGCGTCAACGTTGTAGTTCTTTCGTTTGGCCAAGATTTTTGCCATAGAGAAGGAGACGATGTAAGAGACGACGCTGATGACCCCGGCGTCGACGGCCACTTGAGACATCAGCGCCACTGGTGGCACGCGCGCCTCTGGCAATCTCAAAAACAAGGAAAAATAAAAGCTTTAATTCTGTGATTTTTTCTCCATATATTTGTATTTGTTTTTAAATTATATATAAATGGTGCATAAGTAAGTAAGTAATTATCAAAAGAAGGCACCAAACCGGGAAGGCTATGTAGCACCATCAAATACGCAAAATAATCAGAGGGCGCTAAATATCACCAAGGATGCCAATACGAGAACAAAAACGCATAAGGCGAACGATATCAAAAGTATCCGAGTCACCAAGAATTCTATCGAGGGACAGGTGACCGCGAGGGGCGGTCGGAAAGCAAGACACACGCTCGTCCTGGAAGTCAGGACATTCAAGAAGGACATGCATGACCGTAAGAGGGACAATGCAACTAGGACAATAAGGAGCAGGGCGGCGCTCCATCAAGTGACCATGGGTTAAGCGAGTATGGCCAATACGCAACCTCGCCAGAGCTGTTTCCCACCGCCGGTTACGGTGGAAGGAGGACGGCTAAATGGTGCATAGAGCAACCCGTTCTCGCACTTTCTTACAGTCAATATTGACTTATTAAATGTGTGCATGTGTGACATACTAAATATACTAGTTTACCTTGAAAAGCTTCATAGGAAACACCGAACTTACCTAACCTTCTTAGTATGTTAAGATATGCATCTTGTTGCTTCGTAATTACAATTATTACTTAACCTATTATAGGTATTGGTTAAGTAATAATTGTAATTACGAAGCAATGCTGTAAAATAGTTTCAAGGTAAACTAGTATGTTTAGTATGTCACATATGCACGTATTTAATAAGTCAATATTGACTATACGAAAGTGCGAGAACGGGTTGCATAGAGGCATTTTTCTCAATTTTACAGCATTGATGTAAGGTAAGGTAATTATCAAAAGAAGGCACCAAACCGGGACGCCTATGTAGCACCATCAAAGTGTGAAATAATCAGGGGCGCTAAATATCACCAGGAATGCTAATACGAGCATTGATGCAAAGAAAATGCCTTTGTTCATTTGCTTTACAATTTCATTATTCTCTGGTAATTATGCCTTGCGCCTCTTACTATTTTCTCAAATATAATCCACATCGACATATCAATTGGCGACTCTTTCAGTACTTTATCTAAATGAGCTAAACTTGCAGCCAACCTTAGTTAAACTATTATTAGTTAGGGAGCTCCAAGTATATAATTGATCTCTCGGGATGCTTAGCGTCCCAGTGAGTGAGTGAGTTCACTCACCCTGAGCTCCCTAGAAACACAGGGAGGTTGTGTTTAATTTATTTAAATTTCCCAGCACAATATAGCAAAGGACCAAGGTATTAAGAGTGTTAATAACTAGGGAAGTGAACAGGATGTGCTCAAGCATCTGTTCCCTTTGCCAGGCACGACCTACCGATCAACTACAAGGGGCTGTAATATAAAATTAGCCTGGAACCATGTGTCTACCATTCAATAATAGATATTGAAGAATATTTCACTCAAGTAAATTTAGTGAAATAGAATGAAGCAAAATGAACTGGGCCAGGTGAAGCACAGGTAGAGGGGGAAGGGTGAGAGAAACATAAGAACGAAGGTAACTGCAAAAATCCTATTGGCCCATAATAGGTCAATATAGGCCTGCCATACTAGGCAGCTCCTATTTTATATCCACCCAATCTCATTCATATATATATGTCTAAACTTCGCTTGAAAAAATCAAGGGATCCTATTGTTATTATGTTATGTGGTGACTGGTTCCACAAATCAACAACCCTGTTATAGACCCAGTATTTACCCAGGGCTTTCTTAAATCTAAACTTATCCAATTTACACCAATTTTTTCGTGTTCTTTCTTGCGTTGATACTTTCAATACCCTATTAATATCCCCTTCGTTATGTCCATTCAGGTAATTATTAATTAATTATAATATTTGTAATTAATAATTATTTCTCTCTCTTGACAAAACCACATACTAGAAATGGAAGGGACGACGTCGTTTCGGTCCGTCCTGAACCATTATCAACTCGATAGTGATGATATTAGATTGATTGATGAAGATTAAGCCACCCAAGAGGTAGCACGAGCATGAATATCCCGTAAGTTATGAGACGAGGGAGACAAGGGATTAAGCAAGGCAAGAGAGAGAGGTGAGGAGACGGAAATCTTAAGAGGAAGATAAGAGCAAGGCAAAAGGTATGGTATGTAAGGTGTAATATAGGGTGTAAGAATGGGAACGTACGAGAAACAAGAGAAAGAAAAAAGAGAAGAAGGGTAGGCTTATATTAGGTCACATTTGTTAGAAAGTTTAGAATTTTGAGTATGTACTATGAAAGGGAAGAGTCAACAGCAACAAAGCCAGAACTCGGGTTCATGTTTGGTAAGTAATTAGTAGGCACCATGTAACGGGGGGGTGGGGGAAATAGCTCTATCTTGTCCATTATTCCACCCCCCCCCCCAGTTAACCATGGAGGCAGGGGGAAACGGCTCTCTCTAGTCCTTGAGCACACGTGGAGCTCAGCTGAGTGTGACAGGTGACCACGCATGTCCCAGGGGGACACCCAGCCACCGCTGGTTGTCAGGTCAGTTGGGGAGTGGCAGGTGTAGTTCTTAAGTAGTATTAAGTGGTGGTTCTGCTCAGATTATTGCGATAGACTGTTTTACTTCATTTGAACGCAATAACCCGAGGTGTACTGGTCTTGTACAGCATGCTAGGGGGAGGCTTAGTATGTCAGTAGACTTCACGTTGGGGACGCTCGACGTTAGATAGTCTGGTCACAGGGGTGGCAAAAGTTTTGAGTTGTTGACCGGCGGAGAAGCTAGGGAAACACTCTGGTTCACGTAGGTGGCTGTAGGTTAAGGGTGGGAGTAACGGTTAATTAAGTACTTAAGATTAAGAATGGTACAGTTAAGTTAGGCTAGTGTTTGGTCTATTAGTATTGATATTTTTTGTGGAGATTCGTTAGTGACAAGTTAAAAGTAATGATGACCTTATTCTCTCTTCTCTAAACTTTACTGTTACTGTCTTATGTTCCACCAAGTCAGTATCATTCAGTGTTAATTGGATTATTTTAAAAATTTAAGTGTAGTTGTTGCCAGGAGGAGAACGTTATGACTGGACTGTGTAAACCCTATACAAACTACAGGGTCACACAACATTTTGGGAGCACGGTATTGTCGCCTTTCTGTTCGTTCACAGGTGGGAGCCAGAAGAGAGGCGAGGCGCACATACAAAAGAGGGAGACAGCTGCTGTGTACCATACTTACGGGCGTTATCACCACCACCACGACCAGCCCACTACCTGGAGGTCATGGCTCCACCACCACCACCACCACCCCAGGGGACCCCAAGATGCAGCCCTCTCGGTCGGTCAACATTGGTCTACCCAGTGGACCCCAGGACGGACGGACCAGTGGACCCCAAGACGGATGGACCCCAGTGGACCCCAGGTCATTCTGCAGACGACACCAGACGACCCAGTAAAGATGGAAGAGGTTTCTGAACGAGATTCTAATTTTTGCCAGTGAAGAGTTCGCTTCTGTCATTATCATATTTATGTGCGCCTCAGGAGTTAGATTAGGTGTTACGCCACTCCCAGGTCTCTTTCTCGAATCATAGAGGGGGGGGGGGGGGGGGGGGGGGGGGGGGGAGCCTCCCCGCACGTCCCGGACCCAGCGTCCTGTGGGGCACACTGCACGTGGTGGACCCACAGTGTTGTAGGGCACGCCGCACGTGGCGGACCAACCGTGCTGTGGGGGCTCCCTGCACGTGGCAGACCCACCGTGCTCTGGGGGGCTGGCCGCACGAGGCGGACCCACCGTGCTCTGGGGGGGCTGGCCGCACGTGGTCCGTGTTGTGGGGCACGTTGCACGTGCCTGACCCAGCGTGCTGTAGGACTTGCTTATCCCCGATGCTGTATTATGAACGATTGATTGAATGATTGAGAAACCTTTTTGTTTAAGATCAACAATATATTGTCCACATCACACTCTGGGCTGACGGTTCGTATCAGTGCAATAATCAGTATACTAACTCATGCATGTATAAATGAGGTTTTACTGTTCATTATACACTTACCCAGTTGGAATTTTGCCGACAATTCTGACGTTGTAGATGCGATGGAAGTCCATCAGGTAGGAGGTCAGCGTGCCTATAACGACAACAATCAGCTCGATGGGAATGGGGATCTTCGACCTTTTACTTACCCAAGGCTGTAAATAACAGACGAAATAAACATCTTACAACTTGGCCAAATTAATAAGTACCAGTGCAACTGCATTTCTAAAATTGTTTAAGAACTAGGATTTATTCGGTCTCACTATTAATAATTAGTTCAGAGTTTTTGTTGTTTTAGATTCAGATCCTCAGAACAAGAAGTTCCAAGTAGCACGTAATGGATTTACCTGGCACAGGAGCGGGATCAGTTAAGAGATTAATGCTACTTAAGCAGTATGAATATACATTTGTACGCTTCATTCAGTGTTGAACACAATTTAAAAAAATCCTTTACCTTGTGGTTTGACCCCGCGGAATGTGGCAAGTTATTATGGGGGGTTCCAGCTAAGAGGACCCGCCTTTATGACGTTCTTTTATCATAGAATCTACGCTCAAACTTACAGTTTCACATGCCAATATTATCTATTCTCCTATGAAAATTTCTTCTATATTAGTTATTTTGGGAAACCTTTTATGGGACACAATTTGAATCATCATTGTCGGGGAGCGGAAACCTTTTATGCATATAGGTTTTCACAGGTCCTCTGCCAATAAACGCCCTTCCCCAGGGGTGTAACCCAAAAGATACTTAATGTCCTATTTAATGCTAGGTAGATATACTAAGACGTTTCTAATCCATTCTGGCTCCTTCCGGTTGTGGACTTTTTGATGTTGCTCCTTAGGACATTAACCCTGTGCTTGGACCATGCACTAATTTTATTGAAATTCTCATCTGTATTTGTCAATCACCTTTCGTTCCCCAATTCCCATCTGCTTGCTCGAGTTTTCCTATTAACATGGGAGTCCTCTTCTCTATGGTGTCAGAGTTCCTCCTTTTAAGATTCGGAATATTGGCAACCATAACGAGACTTCTTGACGGAGTGTTGCACTTGGGCCCAGAGCTGTGTTGGTTCCTTGTGCGGTCATACAGGGCTCGTACTGGGCGCCCTGTACCCGGCCTTCCTTCCTCGTCTGTCAACAGGAGTTGGGTAGTAACTAACGCTTTTCCTCGCAAATTCCTGCGAGTCCGGCAGGTAAGTAAGAAAGTAATTATCAAAAGAAGGCACCAAACTGGGAAGGCTATGTAGCACCATCAAATGTGTGGGATAATCAGAGGGCGCTAAATATCACCAAGGATGCCAATACGAGAACAGAAACGCATAAGGCGAACGATATCAAAAGTAAGTAATTATCAGAAGAAAACACCAAACCGGGAAGGCTATGAGGCACCATCAAATATGCGGGATAGTCAGAGGGCGCTAAATATCAAAGGATGCCAATACGAGAACAGAAACGCATAAGGCGAACGATATCAAAAGTATCCGAGTCACCAAGAATACTATCGAGAGACAAGTGACCGCAAGGGACGGTCGGAAAACAAGACACGCTCGTCTCGGAAGTCAGGACATTCAACAAGAATATACACGACCGTAAGAGACAACACAATTAGGACAATAAGAAGCAGGGCTGCGCTCCATGAAGTGACCACGAGTTAAGCGAATATGGCCAATACGCAATCTCGCCAGAGTCGTTTCCCATCGCCGGTTACGGTGGCAGGAGGACGGCCACGAGGACACACAACTCTTAAGAGTAAGCAGTTTGTTACCAGTAACAGACGACCAACAAGCCTGCCAACGGGTAAGGATGGAGGAAATAGATAACTGGGTAAAAGTAGGAATAAGGAATACCTTTTCGAGAGATGGGACAAGAGTAGACAGCTTCCCTGGCGGCTGTATCCGCACTCTCAATTTAATAGACACCAATATGGTTGGGAACCCAACAAAACTCAACTGACTTAAATTTACTGTGAACAAGAAACAGCCAAAGCTGGATCTCGACAACCACTGGATGAACCGGATTAAAGGATCCGAGAGCCATGAGGGCACTACGAGAGCCAACAACAACTACAAAGGAAGATTGACAACGAGAAAGCAGGAGACGAAGAGCATAGAGAATAACAAAGTTCAGCTGTGAAGATGCTAGTCTTTGGAGGCAAGCGACATATACAAGTGCAATCAGGAAAAACAACAGAGTAGCCTACACCGTCAGCAGAATTATACCCATCGGTGAAGATGGAAACGGAACGGGAGTGAGAAGAAAAGTGCTCAAGAAAAAGGTGCAAGTCTTAGATGTAGAGAACCTGAAGCCATGATCGGTGGCCCAAGACAACATGGCATCAATTGCAAGTTGAAGCCGGCGTTGAAGGAGAGGCGAATCATCACCCTGACAGCAAAGAGTAAGATCATCGACATAGAGAGCGGAGAAGGTGTCAGAAGGAAGAAAGGAAAGAAGACCATTGAGGGCAACCAGAATGAGTAGTGCTCAGAACAGTATCTTGGGGCACACTTTCGTATTGCTGAAAAGAGGCAGAGAGAGCGATAACAAGCCTCACCCGAAAGGAACGACGAGAGACGAAGCTTTGGAGAAAGATGGAGATCACCACGTAGGCCAAAAGAGTGAAGTTGGAACAGAATATGATATCGCCAAGTGGTGTCGTAAGCCTTTTCCAGGTCAAAGAGGACGGCAACAACGGTGGTCTTTGCAGCAAAAGCAGTACAAATTATAGACCTCTAAGTTCACCAGGACATCTGTTGTGCTGCGGCACTTGCGGAAACCAAATTGAGAAGGGGAGAGGTGGTGATGGTGTTCCAGGAACCACATCAGACGAACGTTAACCATACGTTCAAAGAGTTTGCAGACACAACTTGTGAGGGCAATAGGGCGAAAGGCTTTAGGGGGAAGTCCCCAGAGACCCTGGTTTTCGAACAGGGAGGACAACAGCATCGAGCCAGTCTTCAGGGACTGACGATGACTCCCAGAACCGATTATACAGACTCGGTAAATATTGAGACATGCACGGAGGGAGATGGTGAAGCATCTCATAATGAATGCCATTGGAGCCCGCCGCCGTAGAACCGCAAAGGGCCAGGGCAGAACGAAGTTCAAAGAGAGAGAAGGGATCATTATAGGAAAGTCGGATATGAGTGCAGAAATCTAAAAGACGAGATTCAAGGACAGGTTCACGAAGAAGGAAAGATTGAGGAAGATGAGAACCAGAGGTAACAGAAGAATATTGGGGACCCAATTCGGTAGCGACCTGCAATGGGTCCACCACAAGAGTTCCCCGGAGGTGAAGGACCGGCGAGACATCGGGAACGAACTTATCCACTATCGTGCGGATACGCTTCCAGATCTGCGACAGAGGAGTTTCGGACGTAATGGTGGAGACATAAGACACCAACATTCACGTTTAGCTGTATGGACGGCCCTACGGGCCACCGCACTCGCCTTCCAAGACAATAGAAAAGAATCAGCCGTCCGCCGGCGGCGGCGGCGTCTCTTCCAGGATGCACGCTTACAGCGGACAGCCCGAGCACAGTCTACCTTCCACCAGGGAACCCACTTCCGTGGTCCACGAGAAGAAGAGCGAGGAATAGAGCGGAAGGCAGCGTTGAATATGGTGTCGGGAAGGAGAGAGCGAGGGAGAGGCAGAAGGGAGAGGTCAGAGAGAGCAGCGCTGAGGGTAAATAGGTTCCAGTCTGCCTTAGAAAACTGCCACCTAGGGAAGGAGAGGGGAGGGTGAAAAGAGAAAAAGGTAACAAAGATGGGGAAATGGTCACTGCCATGGAGGCCATCAAGAATTCGCCACATGAAATCCAAGTAAAGAGACAACTAGCAGAGAGAAAGATCAAGACATGAAAGGGTGCGAGTCCGAGAGTCCAAGTAAGTAGGCTCATCAGAATTCCGAAGAGACAGGGAAGGGGGCGGAGGCACTTTCCTGCTCCCAAATAGGGGCAGGAAAGGAGGCGGAGGCGGAGGCAACCCTCACCTGTCCCAGAGAGGAGTACGTGAGCCCCCTCACCACGACAAGGAGAGAGAATGGAGGGGGAATGAGAGATGATGAACCAACCATGCTTGATCTGATATTTACCCCTAAATGAAACGGACATAAGGGAAGTTAAGTTGGAAGCCCCCTTTGGAATGAGTGATCACAGTGTATTGATCATTGAGTACCTGGTAGAGCTAGGATGTCTCCCCCCCCCCCCCCCCAAAAAAAAAAAAAAAACTAGGGGAACAAAGGGCGAGTGTACCGAAAGGGGAATTATGAGAAGAAAATTCCTATGGGATATACATGGGACAACTCAGAACTAAGTCTGTATAAGACATGATAGACTGTCACCCAAAAGTGTCAGGAGGCATAAACAGGTCTATCCTGGCCCAAAAGGTAAAACCTATTAGCAGAAGTAGAATCCATGGTTTAATAGGGAATGTATGGAAGCAAAGGAACAACAAAAGGCATGGAGGAACTTCCGAAATAACAGACCACCAGAAAGAGAGATCAGAGAACCAGGAATGAGTATGTTAGTGTGAGAAGAGAAGCAGAAAAAAAATATGAAAATGATATAGCAAACAAAGCCACGACTGAACCAAAGCTACTTCACAGTCACATCAGAAGGAAACCAGCAGTGAAAGAATAGGTGACCAAACTTAGAACGGGTGATGACAGTTATACAGAGAATGACAAAGAGGTGTGTGAAGAACTCAAGAGGTTTCAGGTCTTTGCAATAGAACGAGGTGAAGTCCTTGAGCTAGGAGACGTGGCAATAAATCAGGCAGTTTTGGAAGGGTTCGAAATTACAAGAGATGAGGTCAAGCGGCATCTGTTGGATCTGGACGTGAGAAAGGTTGTTGGTCCAGACGAAATCTCACCGTGGGTGTTGAAAGTGTTCTGAAACACTATGCATGCCACTCTCCATAGTGTATAGTAGGTCACTGGAAACCTACCAAAAACATGGAAGACAGCTAATGTAGTCCCAATATACAAAAAGGATGACAGACAAAAGGCAATGAACTACAGGCCAGTGTCCTTAACTTGTATACCAAGCCAGGTTATGTTGAAGATCGTGAGAAAAAACCTAGTAATACATCTGGAGAGAAGTGACTTCCTGACACACCACCAGCATGGGTTCATGGAAGGTAAATCTTGCCTTACTGGTTAAATAGAATTCTACGATCAGGTGACAAAGATTAAGCAAGAAGGAGAAGGATGGGAGGACTGCATTTTCTAGGACTGTCGAAAAGCCTTCGAAACAGTACTCCATAAGAGGCTGGTGCACTAGCTGGAGAAACAGGCAGGAGTAAATGGTAAGGTGCTCCAGTGGATACAGGAGTACTTAAGTAATAGGAAGCAAAGAGTTACAGTGAGGGGTGAGACCTCAGATTGGCGTGAAGTCGCCAGTGGATTCCCACAAGGCGCTGTACTCGGACCTATCCTGTTTCTGATATACGTAAATTATCTCCCAGAGGGTATAGACTCATTCCTCTCAATGTTCGCTGACGACGCCAAAATTATGAGAAGGATTAAGAGAGGAGGACTGCTTGAGGCTTCAAGAAGACCTGGGCAAACCGAAGGAATGGTTGAACAAATGGTTGTTAGAGTTTAACCCAAGCAAATGTAATGGAGATAGGTGTAGGGAGCAGGAGACCAGATACAAGGTATCATTTGGGAGATGAAATTCTTCAAGAATCAGAGAGAGAAAGACCTGGGGGTTGATATCACGCCAGACCTGTCCCCTGAAGCATATATCAAGAGGATAACATCAGCGGCACATGCCAAGTTGGCCGACATAAGAACGGCCTTTCGAAACTTGTGTAAGGAATCATTCAGAACTTTGTATACCACATATGTCAGACCAATCCTAGAGTATGCAGCAACAGCATGGAGTCCATATCTAGTCAAGCATAAGACTAAACTGGAAAAGATTCAAAGGTTTGCCATCAGACTAGTACTCGAACTGAGAGGTATGAGCTACGAGGAGAGACTACGGGAATTAAACCTCACGTCGCTGGAAGACAAGAGTTAGGGGAGACATGATCACCATATACAAGATTCTCAAATATATTCTCAGATTGATAGGGTAGAATGAGAGACTATATAACACGAGGGGCGCACAGGTGGAAATTGAATGCCCAAATGAGCCATAGACACATTAGAAAGATTTTTTGTAGTGTCAATAGTTGAAAAATGGAATGCATTAGGAAGTGACGAGGTGGAGGCAGATTCCATACACAGTTTCAAGTAAAGATATGATAGAGCCCAGTAGGCTCAGGAACCTGTACATCAGTTGATTGACAGTTGAGAGGCGGGACCAAAGAGCCAGAGCTCAACCCTCGCAATCACAACTGCGTAACACACACGTCTGGTTCTGGGGAACTGTTTGGTTTTAATTTTTTCTGTTTAACAGCTTGTTCCGTGGTAACCTCCTGAGTAAACAACCTGCCATCTTCAGCAATATTGATTTAGCTTAATGCATAATGTTAAGCTCCTTCCTATGTAAACGGGAAAAAAATGAAGAATACTAAATCGTTTTGGTTATTATCAGTAATTTGACCCGTGTATTTGACCCGTGTATTTGACCCGTGTCTGCTCTTAATGTCCAGTCTTTTTCCTGATCGTTTATGCAACTAAGAAAACCTTTAGGATTTGTCTTTGTTTGCTTTACTCCGACGTGTTTAATACCTTCTTTTTTTTGCTTTCCTTATTTCTTGTTCAGCATTTCTACTTTGACATTTTTTTAATAGGTTCATTTCCCCTTCTTAGTCCACTTGTAAAAATAATTTTTTCCCCAATGAATTTTGTTAGGCCCCTAGCTATCCATTTGGAGGCCATTGTTTTGGTGTCTAATCTATAATTTCCAAGAAATTTCTTGGAAAATTCACTTTCGTTCTTTGGTGGCTCTTGAGCGCGTCAACAATCTTTGTGTCGATTACGGTAGTTGGGCGCGCTCACGAGCCCAAAGAAAAAATATTTGTATAAATTCCATTTTCTATCCGATCTATTTGGGGATAGTTTACAAATGTTCGCCATGAAATTTACGTTTTCTCTAATAGCCGAACAGCTTATTTGGGAGAACGGCGTGGCAGTGAATCATCGTGGTAAAACAATTGTATTATTGACACAACGAGTATAAGGTAATTATCAAAAGAAGGCACCAAACCGGGAAGGCTATGCAGCACCATCAAAGTGCGAAATAATCAGAGGGCGCTAAATATCACCAAGAATGCCAATGCGAGAACAAAAACGCACAAGGCGAACGATATCAAAAGTATCCGATTCACCAAGAATTCTATCGAGGGACAAGTGACCGCGAGGGACGGTCGGAAAGCAAGACACACGCTCGTCCTGGAAGTTAGGACATTCAACAAGTATATGCACGACTGTAAGAGGGACAACGCAATTCGGACAATAAGGAGCAGAGCGGCGCTCCATTAAGTTTAAGTTTAAGTTTAATTAAGCTCCATTAAGTAACTGCCCGAAACGCTTTGCGTAATAGTGGCTTTAGGCATTGTATGTACTAGCTCTATCTATAAAGCCAACAAACTTTGTAAAATCTCTTTATGTATGTACCTTTGCCTAAATAAAAATTATTATTATTATTATTATTATTATTATAAGTGACCGTGGGTTAAGCGGGTATGACCAACCCGCAGCCGTGTCAAAGCAGTTTCCCACCGCCGGTTACGGTGGTAGGAGGAAGGCCACGGGGACACACTACGTTTGAGAGTACGCAGCTTGTTACCAACCACAGAGGACCAACAACCCTGCCAACGGGCAAGAATGGAAGAATGAATAACAGGATGAAAGTCGGAATAAGGAATACCTTTACGGGAAATGGGACAAGAACGGATAGCGTCCTTAGTGGCAGCATCCGCACGCTCATTGAAAGAAACACCAATATGGCTGGGAACCCAGCAAAACTCTATTGATTTAAATTTACTAGAAATAAGAAACAGCCATTGCTGAATCTCTATGACCACCGGATGGACAGGATTAAAGGACCCTAGAGCCATGAGGGCACTACGAGAGTCAACTACCACCACAAAGGAGGAATGAGAATGAGAAAGCAAGAGACGAAGAGCATAGAGAATAGCATAAAGTTCTGCCGTAAAGACGCTAGCCTCCGAAGGGAGGCGACACATATAAGTACGGTCAGGAAAAAGAACAGAGTAGCCCACACCATCCACAGACTTAGACCCATCGGTGAAGATGGAAATAGAGCGGGAGTGCGAAGAAAAGTGCTCAAGGAAGAGGCTTTTCAGAATTGTAGGAGGGGTAAAGGCTTTAGTAATACAAGTCAAGGACGTACAAAACTTGGGAAGGGGGACTCTCCACGGAGGTAAGGAAGGAACAATACGAGGAGAAACATTAGAAATATGAACAGAAAGATATTCCTGTAAGCGAGATAACCGGACAGAAAGTGGGAGACAATGAAGAGGAACAGGAACCACAGGAGGAGGAAAAGTCAATGCACGACAGAGGCGAGAGGAAGGATGTTGGAAGGACCGCGCAAGATAGCGAAGACAGTAGCGATTACGGCGGTCTTGAAGAGAGAGAAAGCCAGTGTCAACATACAAACCGAGGGCGGGAGTCGAACGAAAAGCACCAGAGCTGAGACGCAACCCAGTATGGTGCAAAGCATCAAGACGGCGAAGAGTAGAAGGAGAAGCAGAAGAGTAGAAGGAGAAGCAGAAGAGTATGCAGGGCAACGACGAGTATAATCGACGTCGTTTTTATATATATTGCCGGTCGAACGCATCCTTATGTGACCTTTTATACTTGTGTTCTTCTAGAACATTCTATTGCGAACACATTGGTACAAAAATGAAATACGTACATCGAAAAATAATGTCAGGACAGTGAATTGAATATACTATTTTCAATGCGGGTTTCGCCGATATGCCGCCGCGGGTAACGCTTCGGCCACTTCCCACACTGTTTTGGGTGGGCTGCGACATTGATTCTATATTTATATGCATATGTCCGTGTAGAAAATTTTATTGCGATTTCAGTGATACTAAAATTAACGCTGTAGCACAACTGTGGGCTTCACAACAAGAGAGTAGAAACATTTTGTTGGTGTTTGGCGCTCTCGGCTAGTGATCTCAGTAGTTCTTTATTTGGTGTTGATATACCTTATGCTTTCGAGGCATTTTATAGGTATGTTCTTATAGACAATTTTATGGCGAGCACAGTGATACAAAAATTAAATACGTACGCCGACAATTAGTGTCAGGACAGTCAAAAGAGTATACACTTTTCGGTCTTGCAGCTTAAGCGCTCGAAACGCCGCGCGCACATGGGGAAATTTTTTTTTCAATAGGCTGCCTGCGGCAAAGTGTTATATTATATTAAATTAATTAATTAACTAAAATCAGTTTTTGGTCAATCTGGCACTTAACAAAATTATCTCTTGATCATGTATTCCATGTTAAATCTGATTTGTTTGTGATTAGCTAACTTTAAATAGTAAGGAACTTGGACAATTTCATTTACCACATTTCACCTATGTACAGCCATTTGAGGGTTGGTTTGGCACATTATTAGGATATACAGACAAATGAATATAATTAACCTTCAACACCTCATTGTTGAGGACCAGGAGAGATATCGTGATGGAGGATATCAGCATGGTAGAGGGATTCGAAGAAGTCAAGTTGCTAAAGATGTCTCGGTATGTCTGAAAAAAACAAAATATATAAATACAGGTATATTTGAAAATTAAATTGATGGACGACAAAGTCAGACCCAGACAACCTGGGGGTAGAAATAGCCTAAGCTACTCTATCCCTTTGATATATATTTTCTAGTCTCGATAAAGATACTTGACCCAGACAACGACAGGTGGTACTCCTGGCCTACTAGGCGGGTGGTACTCCTGGCCTGATAGACGGGTGGTACTCCTGGCCTGATAGACGGGTGGTACTCCTGGCCTGATAGACGGGGACTGTCTACACCTCTGTGATACGGATTTCATTGTTTGAGACCTATAGCTACATCGTAGCGGCAAAAGGAGTTGTCACATGGGTCTAACATTGTGGCCTATAACCGATTCAAGTTAATTGTTGCAAGTCTGCAACATGCTATCAATTTTGGATAAAAACTCACACTCACGTAATTTATACGATTTATGTAAAGAAATTACATCAAGTCTTTTGCACTCTCATGAATGCGAATGCTGTCAAGCACTCTGTCAAGGTCTGTGTGTGTGACTAGTACGAGAATTGCATCTCAACGTCTAACGAGGTTGTTATCCTTGACCGCCTGACCATGTCCCCTTCGTTGTTGTTATTATAGATTCAGCTACTCAGAACAATTTCCAAGTAGCACGGGCTATGGCAACCCGTTCTCGCACTTTCGTATAGTCAATATTGACTTATTTAATACGTGCATATGTGACATACTAAACATGCTAGTTTACCTTGAAAAGCTTCATAGAAAACACCGACCTTACCTAACCTTCTTAGTATGTTAAGATAAGCATCTTAGTGCTTCGTAATTACAATTATTACTTAACCTATTATAGGTATAGGTTAAGTAATACGTAAGTAATATTATAGGTATAGGTTAAGTAATAATTGTAATAACGAAGCAATAAGATGCTTATCTTAACATACTAAGAAGGTTAGGTAAGGTCGGTGTTTTCTATGACGCTTTTCAAGGTAAACTAGTATGTTTAGTATGTCACATATGCACGTATTTAATAAGTCAATACTGACTAAGAAAGTGCAAGAACGGGTTGGGCTATGGTGAGCCCGTAGTGGACTTATTACCTGCACAGGAGCGGGGCTGTGCGTGTCCTCTTGATTCCCGACTACTGATGTACCTGCGGTAATGACTTCCTTGGAATTATGGTTGTGTGTCCTTTCTTTAATCCTGATATTCTGAGAACTGGAGTTAACTAATATTAAATAACTATTAATATTTGTTATAATTTATTAATTGTTTAAAAGTGGGTTATATGGTATTTTAAAACTACTTATCACGATTCTAAATAAAATGACCTATAATGTAATTGACGCAAGACATAATATAGTTTTTAATTACCCAATTACAATTAGGAAAAGAGTTGGTAAGAATGACGTAGGAGATGTTAAAACTCCAGATGTTTATATATTATCTTGTAGAGATTTTAATGAAGTCTATGTGGGGGGAAACAGCGTAACCTTGATCAGAAATGAACATAAGCATTTAGGATTGTGGCCGGTAGCAGTGCTGAAGTTAACCAGAGTTGGGAAAAGGATCACAACATTGATTTTAATTAGTGAAATAATCTATAAAAGTAATATTAGAACTAGAAGGGGAGTGGAATGGGTTCTAATAAATACTCTGAATACTTCTGTTGGTAACAAAAGCTTTACTTTAGAGAACAGCTTTACTAGGAAAATGATTCTCTGTTAATTAAAACTAGATGTTAGTAAATGGATAAATGTAAGCAGTCCCATTAGCTGCGTTCCTTGGGGTATGGAGAGGGTTACGAGGGATAGCATCCAGATGAACACCTCGAGTGGTAACTCCAGTTCTCAGAATATCAGGATTACAGAAAGGACACCTGACCATAATTCCATGGAAGACATTACCGAAGATGCATCGGCAGTCGGGAATATAGTTGACATGGTCAAGAAGGATAAGATAACTGAACCCAGGATAGCAGCCTCCAGCAGCCTCGCTCCTGTGCCAGGCAAGTACACTACGGGCTCACCATAGCCCGTGCTACTTGGAACGTTTTGTTCCGAGTTGCTGACTAAAACCCACAACAACAACAGGATAGTAGCCTCATTAGACACCGAGTTTTAAGTCTCGCCCTATTCACACGCTCAGACCTTGACAAAGCACTCAGGAGAGTGCGAAAGACTGTGTAAACTGTTTCATAAATTTCACAAATTACATAAATGCGGGATTTTATCCCATGTGATCACGTCTGTGAGAAGTCATTAATAGGAATGTTATTATCAATTAATACCGAAGGTGCAGGCTTTTTACTTTCAAATATATAATCAACTATACATTTATGGAGAATAAAGTTCAGAATTATATACAAAAACTTACTAAACTGCTTTATGGTCATTTTACATACAAAGTGTCTGTTTTAAGTTTACTAGAAAACAAAATAATAAAACAAAATTTCAGAAGTCAACTGTTAGAAACTAATTTATAAATATTTTATATACCCTCTGAACAGATACATTGTAGAGTGAAAAATTAATACCACTAGAAAAATATGTCTTTTTAAAATGGCAGATATTTTTTACGCTGTACGATATTTTTTTTACGCTTTACGATATTTTTTACGCTTTACGATATTTTTTTACGCTTTACGATATTTTTTACGCTTTACGATATTTTTTACGCTTTACGATATTTTTTACGCTTTACGATATTTTTTACGCTTTACGATATTTTTTACGCTTTACGATATTTTTTACGCTTTACGATATTTTTTACGCTTTACGATATTTTTTACGCTTTACGATATTTTTTAAGTTCATAACTTAATTAAATATGAAATTCAATATCTAAGACGATGACTGCTTCCTGAATAAAGCACGATATTCCACACTTAAAAGGAAGCTTCGTCTCTTCCGACCCAGCAAGAGAGATGGCAGATAATTGTTATACCATGTTAATTACCCACGTATCTGTATGCAGGCGTGGGACCACGACCAGCAGGTATCGTGCACACTGCAAGAACGACAATCGCCTTGCCTGAAGGGTCGTCCGTCAGGAGGTGGCCGTTTCATATCTTCAAACGTACACTCAGTTGTGGCTCAACAATTACCAAAAATTAAAACTGCCTTATGCTTGTTGGGCCAGCAATTGCATCCCAACATCCGTGAACAGGCGCGTGTACCCCTGTTGGAAATTTCCAACATCGAATACAACACTGTTGTATTCTCATTACTTATTACTAACTATTAATTATTGTAGTAAGTAAAATTAACACCACGTAGAATTCTCATGTACTAATAATTTCATCTGTGCAGTAGGCTAGAATTCTTACGTCATCCGACGCCAGTATTGAGTCAGATTTCATTACAATAAACACATTATATCCAATGTATCTGAGAATTAAATTCGATTCTCTATAACTAAGGCATTCTGTATGATAATTAATTACAGATGAATTGACCTCCAACTAAAAGCCGAATAGAGGGTTGGAGTCATAGCGATTATCTAGTAATAAAGGTTAACGTCACCAGTGAATGCCATGGGGAGACATTAATTCCTCTCCCTTATATATTTACTATCCCCAAATTGGCAAATAATATTATTTCCCTCTTCTAAATAATAAACCCGTCCAGTCTTCAACATTTCAAGCGTAAATGCGAGAAATATTAATGTTCGTGACAATAATTTGTTTAATGAACGCGAGACGCGGCGTGGGGTAGAGGAGGCTTGCCAGTACACGTGCAGAGAAGCTCTGAGGCAGACCTACTCGTATCTACTCACGAGGAGACGCCATTGCCCAGCCATCAGGGTAGACGTTAGCCATCCTCAGATGAAACTCGCCACTGTGAGGCGTGAATAACCTTGCAGATAATATCTTCAACTGGTGCTGGTGTCATATAAGGAACCTTTTTAACCTGGTTCTTGACTACACGTGACCGGCCAGTGAAGCGCGCCATTATCCAGGATAGGCTGAAGCCAGAGCCTGGGGACGCGAATTTCGGCAATCTTAAAACTTATACAGTGCCCTTATTAGCTAAGTATATTCCCTTTATGTGATGCATCTTGTAAAGTGTTTGTAGTAGCTGGGTGATTGACCGTTACGACGTATGCCAACATCAAACAACAGGTTATTAATTTTTATCACCTGTAACTCTTAATTTCTTGAATATAGAGATTCAGTAGTTTAATTAGTTGCTACTGTGAATATTTGTCTTGCAGCACGTGAGAAGAATTCTCCCTGCCGACTTCTCCCATGTTAATCCATCCCACTTGTCAGCCAGCCGAGTCCAGGGAATTAGAGGAATCGTCGTGGCTTACATAAAGGAATCGTCTTTAAGCTAAGATTCTTTGTATCCATTCATGAACTTCTTGAAATTACTTACATGCAGAATTTCTTAGGATTAACATGTGTTTATTGTGACTATCATTACTATACTTATAATCTATGTTCCCATTCATGGTAATGACATTAGTTTCACTATAATTCATAGGATTAGATTATTATTATTTGGATTAGTGAACGGACCACACTAGTTCCTGGACGTACTGACTTCCAGTAATAACCCCCCAATGTAGGTGTTTGAGGGTTTGATTCATTTAATTATACAGCCCATTAATTATTTCTATGATCATATTCTCTAGTATTTTATCCATAGTTACTGGTTCATCTAGGAATTATCTAATGGTCAGAAATTCTCAGTTTCCCTCTTTACTATAAAAGCGGGTGGTCCTTCGTAATTTAATTTACTACATTAATATTTAAATAATCAGTGTCAAGCCCCAAATGTCCCACAACCCCCCCCCCCCCCGTGAACAGGCGCGTGTACCCCCCCCCCCCGTGAACAGGCGCGTGTACCCCCCCCCCCGTGAACAGGCGCGTGTACATCCCCCCCCCGTGAACAGGCGCGTGTACCCCCCCCCGTGTACAGGCGCGTGTACCCCCCCCCCGTGTACAGGCGCCTGTACACGCCTATGATGGTCCCCTCTCATCCAAACCCACCCAGCCACTCACCCTCCCTCCCTCACACCAACTCACCCTTCCTCCCACCCACCTAATCTCACACACACACACACCCCTCTCCCCCCCCTTCCTCCCTCCCTCCCCCCCCTCTCCCTCTCATCCTCACTAACCCACCCACCCTCACTACCTACCTCCGCCCCTCCCTCACCCTCATTCACTTCCTCCCTAACACGCTCCACCTCTCTCAGTACAATATAAAACTTTAAAAACTTATGAAAACAAATCGGCATTTCAGAGGAGTCGATGCGAGTCACAAAAAGAGCAGATTCTTCATGAAGATAGTGGGAAGCGATTTGGCAATGTTGCTGACCCTGATACACCTATGACAGTCTCCCATCCCCCTACCACTCTTGTGTCATCCTGAAAATGTTTAAGTGGCTAGCCCCAAGCATCCGACCCGAGACCCTGACTCGAAGACCCTCCTCCCAGACCCCCCCCCCCCACAGACTCGGAGACTGCCCTTCATAGATATAGATATCTGAACAATACACACACACACACACACACACACACACGTCACCCAAAGCGTTCTCACAAAGCTCATGTCAAGATCAAAATAAAAACTTTGAATGTGAACCTTTAGAACTTTCCGCCAGTGAAGGGCTCACTAGGAAGAGAGACTGCCAGACAACAAAAACATTCAGACCGTACGCAATAACGTGTCATTTAGAGGGCGTTAAAAGTAACCATTACTTACGTAGATGAGTTTAAATGGGCCGCTGTATCTCCGTACTTTTATACCAAACAGGTTTTTGATTTGGGAAGTGAGGACATGGAAGGATGCGCCGGTTGTGAAGCCTGACACCAGCATGTCTGAGAGGAACACACACAAGGTCCCCAGCTGCAGCAAACCCAGCAACACCTGAGGGCAAACACATGACCGTTAATTACATGTATCGTGCACACCAAGGGTGTTAATGGGTGGCAAGTGTGCATCAGGTAGAGCGATAGTGGCAATGACCACCGTTGTTGGCGATGGTTCAACACACTACCAATGATCTGTAACCTGTTCCAACAATGAATTGTGATCATAGATGAATAACATTGGGAGTCGGTCGTCATTAATTGCAGAAAATAACGTGAAAGAGGAGACGTGAATAAGAGAATGTTGAAACCTTCTAGAAGGACGCAGATTCTCGGCAAGGCTGCAGCTCACACTGCAGTCTTCCTGCAGCCGTCAGCCTTGCTGGCTTACTGACAATCATTGCAATCCTGCAATTTTAGTTTAATGTGGCTTGTTCACTATTAACTTTACCTTTAATGACATCAGAGAAGAGCACCAAACCACTTCACGTCATACTGAATGTTCCTGTACTCATCTAGTTGCACTCGCTTAGTAGTACTTGTAGAGGTTGAACTTCGGCTCTTTGGTCCCGAAAATCGACTGTAACAACTGGTGTATAGGTGTTCAGAAACCTGTACACCTATTGGGCTCTATCATATCTAAATTTGAAACAATGGAGTCAGCCTCCACCACATCACTGCCTAATGTATTCCATCTGTTAACTACCCTGACACTGATTTTTTCTAATGTCTCTTCTTGCACCGCATGTAAGTGTACTTCTGCCAGGCTATGTGCGTTAAGCAAACAGCAAGGTCACAGTCTGCATTCCACTATGGAATGCACTTTCTCGAGCTGCAGTAGCCACGGCGTGGTATGACGTGGAGGCTGTGTCAAGGAAGGCTGTCTATAAGAAGGGAAACGGAAGGCAAGACGTGCAGTTAGAGGTGAAGTTTGTAGCCAGTGTCTCGTCTGCTGTATCACGCCACCACCACCATAGACAGATGGAAGGGGAACTATCAAGGAAAAGCTCCAAGCCATTACGACTTTATAGTGTTTGTAAGGGGTCAAGAAACAAGAAAAGGATTTGGGGCGGGACGGGGGGGGGGGGGGGGGGGGAAGAATGGTGCCCAACCACTTGGACGGTCGGGGGTTGAACGCTGACCTGCATGAAGCGAGACCGTCGTACTACCGTCCACCCCAAGTGGTTGGGCTATAAACAGATGAAGTAAAAGGTTTATGGGACGAGATAATGGGGGATATGGTTCCCGTGATAAAGGTTAAGATTTGCCATTCCAGTTAAGGTCATGTTACAAGTATAACTGGAAGTGACCAGGACCAAGGCTAAGCATTGAGGCTCTACAGAAAGGAAAAACAGAATACTTTAAATTTGTAAGCCAAGATAAATTAGCATCAAAGTTTTACATATATTTTACATTAAACAATACACTTAATTGGAAAAAACAGAACGAGTTAAAAGTTGTAAAATATATTAGCAGTAAAAATTAGAGGCATCTAGGACGAGATCCCTAAAACAGGGTTAGTTTATCTTAGCAAGTCGAGCAAAGTCAAATGATCTATAAAAGAAAGATGTGATATTGGTCGTGCAGACAGATTTAAAGGAGGGAGCGGTGGAGAGGATGAGTTAGTGTGACAACCCTGGAACCGGTTCCTTGCCAGGCTCGGGTACATTAGCGGATTTAATGGAGACAGGCAGGCCTTCTAGCCCATTAGGAAGGCGGAAGTGGCATTTAGATTCCTCTTTTGGCCATTGATGGGGTTCAGACTGAAGGGGCTCTGAGTCCTCAGTGTAGATGTTAACAGCCAGGTGGTGACATGTGTGAGACTGGTGTGAACATCTGTCGCTACAGTGTGGCTGGGGACCAAAAGGTAAGGGCGGATACTGGTGGCAGAGATGCAAGCTAAGGGTTCCACACTGGAAACAGTAGGGTCGAGACAGGTGAACAAGGCTCGAAACCATGCATTCGTGGAGGAGGCCCCGGGGAGGGCAGTCACGGAGAAAGACAGAAAGGATGATGTGAACCGGAGCTAACAGTCGAAAATTGGGAACTCAATTCGGTTGCGACCGACACTGGATCCGCCACAATAGAACCACGGAGGTGAAGGACTGGTGAGACATCTGGAATAAACTTACTATCTTACGGATTTTCTTCCAGATCTGAGACAGGAGTTTCGGTAGTAATGGTGGAGACACGAGATTTCCAACTCTCACATTTAGCCTATGGATGGCTCTACGGGCCACCGCACTCGCCATAACAAAACAAAAGCAGAAGCCATCTGTCGGCGTCGGTGTTTCTTCTAGGCTGCACGCTTACAGCAGACAACCCGAGTAGTCTGCATTCCCCCAGGGAACGTACTTATGCCTGCTCCAGGAGGCAGAGCGAGAAACAGAGCAGAGGGCAGCATCTAATAAGGCGTTATGAAAAAAGGAGGGGGGGGGGGGGCTCGCGGGGGAGGCAGATCGGAGAGATCGCAAACAGTAGCATGTAAGGTGAATAGATTCCAGTTAGTATTGGCAAACTGCTATCTGGGGGAGGGTAAAAAGATAAAAAGGTGACAAGGCGGGGGAAATAGTTACTGGTACGGAGGTCATCAAGAACCTGCCATGTGATATCTAAAATATAGAGAAGACGAGCAGAGAGAAAGATCAAGTCAGGAGAGGGTACGAGTGCAAGAGTCAACACGAGTGTATTCACCAGAATTCAGAAAGGGCAGAAGAAGAAAGGACAAATTGTTCGAGAAGGCGGCCCTGGCTGTTTGTCAGAACATCTCCCCAGACAGTATGCTGACAGTTGAAATCACCCAAAAGGAGCACAGACTCTGGTAAGGAGTCCAACAGATGTTTAAGATACCACTTATCTTACTATTTATACCATTTACTCACAAAGATACGAGCCGCAGAACATTGATTATGGATCTAAATAAGTATCGGGGAATATCATGTTCAAATCTCCCGCACCTATTGCAGAGGCGAGGAGAGAGGATGTACTCCTGAACGGAGCATCTGGCACCAACAACAATTGCGGAAGAAAGAAGAGACCCATTATCAACAGTGATCTTCACTACGCAAAGAAGCTGACGACAACGACCACGAAGCGGTCGAGTGAACGTATCAGTCAGGAGGATAGAATGGCCTTGGGCCACAAGGATAAGTTTAATATCCTTGTGGCAGTCTTTCAGTTCTCTATCACCAATTTCAGCATGGTGCGGGAGAATGACTGTGCCAATATAACCGAGCATTTTCGCAATTCCAAAAAGGGGTCTCCCCAATGCAGGAAAAAGAAACTAGCTGGCGAGATGTTTGCCGAGAAGGGGCAGCAACGACACGCACCAGTACGGGTGGGGTTAAAAGTGACAAAGGTATCCACCGAATCAACTAGGTGTTTATGGAGAAAGAAATCATCAGGACATGTAGAAGCAACATGATTCAGATCAAAATACTTAGTCCCTGTAGCAGGACCAAAGGTTGGAATGTATTAGAACTGGAAAGAATTGTGTGCATACGACTGCGAAAGTTAAAGGAATGAGAACCCAAGTAGGAGAATGGGGGGAGGGGGGTAAAAGGTGCAGTTGTTACAGTGAGGGACGGAGCCACTCCAGGTGATGGTGTTCACCACTGGAGTCTTGGGGCTCAACCCTGCCTCTGAGGTGGGAGGTAACAGAGAGGGCTAGTCGGGAAAGTCAGAGAAGCAGCTTGGTCTAGGTCCAATGTAGCGGGGGGCTTCAGAGCCCGCCCTTCTAGCACAGTGCGACTCAGGGGCTTGGTCGCCTACCCCGCGAGTCTGAAGTTAAAAAAAGGATCAGATATCGGAATATAAGCGAACAAGTAAAAATTTTGATCTACAAATTCGTCCTCATAGCCACCATGGAGCCACAATTAGAGGATAGGACACCGAACAAGACGGCCCCCCCACCCTCCAGGGGTGCATCATGGATATACGCCCTGCAATCGCCACCTTAAGAACCGTCAGTCCGTCGACATCAGGTTCAGCAACGAAAGCAAAGACTGACAATTAAATCGTCTCCTCACTCACATCGTCGGGTACCTCAGTTTTACAGGTGAGAGTGTCACCCTAAAGACCCGTTTTGACGCCGGAAGACATCTAAAAAGAGTAATCAAGAATAGCAAAAAGTGTGCAGGAAGTATCAATCAGAAATGAGAAAAGGTGAGGAGGAAACATAAGGAAGAGGAAAGGGCATCCAGCACAATTAGTGAAGGCAGCAGCAGGAGCATAAGGCTTCAAAAGGACAGAAGACTGTCTCATGGAGCCTGACACTCCGGCAGCCGCCCACCAAGCCCCCTCACGACGGCAACGGGCTGGGAAGGGAGGAGAATGTTTGTGGCACAACACTACCCGATTGTGTTGTTCACCGAAACACCATAGCCAAACTTCATGCAATTATTGTGTTGGCAATGGGTTAGGATATCGGCTTAACAGTTCTTGACTATTCAAAGACTCATCAGTGGGAGGAGGAAACACTATGTAAATTGCATTTTTATGAGGGCAATAGTTTGCTATGTTGGGGGGGGGGGGGGGGGGGGGGTACGTTTACATGTAAACCAATAGATTTTATGTATTTATATTTTTTCAGAGTACGATTCCCATATACATGGCACTCATTCATATGCATGCACCAAACCACACGTTGTAGTGATTAAAATTAATAGTAGTAGTGATTAAAATGCTCGCTTGACATTAGCCAAGCAAGCAACCTGTCCACGGGCCAGGCTCGGTAAAGCGGCGGCCCTCCCCAAAGCAGCATTCATCAGTTTTAGTCTTTTGTGCATTAAAAACAGGTTTGTTCTCATATAAAAGTTATTATTATATATATACTGAAGTTGTATGTATAGTTAGGTTTGTAGTTTGTTGCCAAACCCAGGTTAGGTTTGTGTTTTGGTTAAATTGACGATTATTTGTATTTTAATTTGATGGGCGATGCATTTACTAACCCATCTTCAGACCAAGTCCATTCCATCCAGTGGTCGACCCAAATTACTCATTCATCTATTTTAACTTGCTGTTCATTCAAAACAGTAATTTTATCAAATTAATATAGTTATATATTGGCATACTATGCATATTTTGGCATGGGTTAGGGTTAGGTGTTTAGGTTCTGTTGGCGATTATTGTATGTGTAGTACGTGGGTGAAGCATTTACAGTGTTGTGGTTCGAACAAAAGCACCCGCCAAACTGACTGTTAATGAATGAAAAACGGTTTATACTCGACTCAACTGATGAAGTTCGAACAGTTCTCAAACAAGTGCTTCGCTGACGACTTTTGTTCGAACCACAACGCTGTAAATGCTTCACCCACTTACTACAAATACAAATATTCGCTAACAGAACCTAAACACCAAACCTAACCTACGTCTAACTATACATTTTATTGCAATAATTTATATACGAGAACAAATCTATTTTTATTATAACGTATATTAAAGCTAATATGTCTCTTAGGGACGGCGGCTGCTCTAACGAGCCAGACCTGAGGATGGGTCCAGGTGGTTAAGACTCAACAACATGCATCATGTACTTGCACCGAGTATACACTACTAAGCAAAATTAAACAAAATGTCTTCATACCTCCACTATGCCAGTGGTCAGTGCCAGAACGGCTGCCACTTGGTTGGGTGAGTAAGTGGTGGACACGCTCTCGTTTACACTGGCATCAGGTGGTAGGGTAGTGGGAGTCTCTGTACCATTTTCAGTGGAAGAGTCTTGATCACTGCTCTCTTCTGTAGAGAAGTCTTCTACAAGTTTGCCCGTCATTTGCATCACGACAGCAAAGGTACCTGTCAATCATTATTCATTAATCCTATTCATTAATCTAATCGGTAAAAAAAAAAAAAAAAAAAAAAAAAAAAAAAAAAAAAAAAAAAAATTGGAGTGAACAATATGGACGAAAATGCAGAATAAAACTAGTACCAACAAAAGCTGGTACGTTTTGAAAAACAAAAGCTTAGTACTGCTTTAAAGGAAAGAAACCTTCCTCAATCTTTCGTTTCTCATATAGTTTGGCTAACTTGGGTTGTAGGTGTACATGAAGCCAGTAATAACTTGGGTTGTAGGTGTACATGAAGCCAGTAATAACTTGGGTTGTAGGTGTACATGAAGCCAGTAATAACTTGGGTTGTAGGTGTACATCAAGCCAGTAATAACTTGGGTTGTAGGTGTACATCAAGCCACTAATAACTTGGGTTGTAGGTGTACATCAAGCCACTAATAACTGGGTTGTAGGTGTACATCAAGCCAGTAATAACTGGGTTGTAGGTGTACATCAAGCCACTAATAACTGGGTTGTAGGTGTACATCAAGCCACTAATAACTTGGGTTGTAGGTGTACATCAAGCCACTAAAAGTCATGAACCTGTACTCAACATTTAATATTACAAATTCAACATTGTTCCCAATTTCCTATAATTTTGCCTAGTTAATGCGATGCAATCCATAGTTTTACAGTGTTAGTACAGTAAACAATTCTGGCATAATTATATTAATTTTAACATGTGTTCAATAAATGAAAGCTGGTATAAAACAAGTGTTTTTTTGTCGCACAATTTGAAGTCTCTTGAGTAATAGTACTCTAAGAAAATTAGATATTTAAGGTGGCTGTTGACCAGACCACACACTAGAAGGTGAAGGGACGACGACGTTTCGGTCCGTCCTGGACCATTCTCAAGTCGCTTGTGATGAAGTAGAGACAGGCAATAAATAGGCAAGAGAGAGCTGAGGAGCAAAGTAAGGTGTAGTAGAGGGGATACTACTACTACTACACTACTTTGTGTAGTAGTGTGTAGGTGGCTGTATTGAGGTCATTTGCTTAATGTGGATGACAGGTGGATTTTTCTTTTATAATTTGAAGTAGATTTAATTATTATTGGTTTAATACTTGAAAATTTGAAAATTTTTAGTTAATGGATTTTTATCGGTAATATTAGAAATGGTCCCAAAAGACGAGTATGAATTATGAATGAAGAGGCTTGGCAGACCACACCGCTGGGCAGGCAGAGGATGTTATCACACACACACAAGGGAACAATAACAAATATTCAGGAAATGGAGAGAACTTTGGCTGAAGAGTAAAAATGTCAGCATTGAATGTAATGAAACTCCTGTTTCTGGTGGGTCCTGGCTGGACCCACTCCAGGGGGACCCACTCCAGGGGGACCCACTCCAGGGGGACCCACTCCAGGGGGACCCATTAACTCCACCCAATTTGAGTCGTACCAGGTACTTGCATGCAAGTCATCATGAACCTAGCAGGGAACAGAGGGCAAAACATGGTGTCTTTTAATAAGTCAGAGGCACTCGAGGACACTAGGTCAGTCAACCCGAGAAAAGGTCGCCCCCATTCCTTCCCCTCACACACTGGTGGTCAATGCCGCCCCCAATCCTCCCCCTCACACACTGGTGGTCAACGCCGCCCCAATCCTCCCCCTTCACACACTGGTGGTCAACGCCGCCCCAATCCTCCCCTCACACACTGATGGTCAATGCCGCCCCCAATCCTCCCCCTCACACACTGGTGGTCAACACCGCCCCAATCCTCCACCCTCACACACTGGTGGTCAACGCCGCCCCAATCCGCCCCCTCACACACTGGTAGTCAACGCCGCCCCAATCCTCCCCCTCACACACTGGGGGTCAACGCCGCCCCAATCCTCCCCCTTACACACTGGTGGTCAACGCCGCCCCAATCCTCCCCCTCACACACTGGGGGTCAACGCCGCCCCAATCCTCCACCTCACACACTGGTGGTCAACGCCGCCCAAATCCTTCCCCTCACACACTGGGGGTCAACGCCGCCCCAATCCTCCCCCCTCACACACTGGGGTCAACACCGCCCCAATCCTCCCCCCTCACACACTGGTGGTCAACACCGCCCCAATCCTCCCCCCTCACACACTGGGGGTCAACACCGCCCCAATCCTCCCCCCTCACACACACTGGGGGTCAACACCGCCCCAATCCAGCCCCCTCACACACTGGTGGTCAACGGCGCCCCCAATCCTCCCCCCCTCACACACTGGGGGTCATCACCGCCCCAATCCTCCCCCCTCACACACTGGTGGTCAACACCGCCCCAATCCTCCCCCCTCACACACTGGGGGTCAACACCGCCCCAATCCTCCCCCCTCACACACACTGCGGGTCAACACCGCCCCAATCCTCCCCCTCACACACTGGTGGTCAACGGCGCCCCCAATCCTCCCCCCCTCACACACTGGGGGTCAACACCGCCCCAATCCTCCCCCCTCACACACTGGTGGTCTACACCGCCCCAATCCTCCCCCCTCACACACTGGTGGTCAACGGCGCCCCCAATACTCCCCCACACACACTGGTGGTCAACGCCGCCCCAATCCTCCCCCCTCACACACTGGTGGTCAACGCCGCCCTCAATCCTCCCCCTCACACACTGGTGGTCAACGGCGCCCCCAATCCTCCCCCCTCACACACTGGGGGTCAACGGCGCCCCCAATCCTCCCCCCCTCACACACTGGGGGTCAATACCGCCCCAATCCTCCCCCCTCACACACTGGTGGTCAACGGCGCCCCCAATCCTCCCCCCTCACACACTGGGGGTCAACACCGCCCCAATCCTCCCCCCTCACACACTGGTGGTCAACGGCGCCCCCAATCCTCCCCCCTCACACACTGGTGGTCAACGGCGCCCCCAATCCTCCCCCCCTCACACACTGGGGGTCAACACCGCCCCAATCCTCCCCCCTCACACACTGGTGGTCAACACCGCCCCAATCCTCCCCCTCACACACTGGTGGTCAACACCGCCCCAATCCTCCCCCCTCACACACTGGGGGTCAACACCGCCCCAATCCTCCCCCCTCACACACAGGTGGTCAACGGCGCCCCCAATCCTCCCCCCCTCACACACTGGTGGTCAACACCGCCCCAATCCTCCCCCCTCACACACTGGTGGTCAACGCCGCCCGAATCCTCCCGCCTCACACACTGGTGGTCAACGGCGCCCCCAATCCTCCCCCTCACACACTGGTGGTCAACGCCGCCCCAATCCTCCCCCCTCACACACTGGTGGTCAACGCCGCCCCAATCCTCCCCCCTCACACACTGGTGGTCAACGGCGCCCCCAATCCTCCCCCACACACACTGGTGGTCAACGGCGCCCCAATCCTCCCCCCCTCACACACTGGTGGTCAACGGCGCCCCCAATCCTCCCCCTCACACTCTGGGGGTCAACGCCGCCCCAATCCTCCCCCTCATACACTGGTGGTCAACGCCGCCCCCAATCCTCCCCCTCACACTCTGGGGGTCAACGCCGCCCCAATCCTCCCCCTCACACACTGGTGGTCAACGCCGCCCCCAATCCTCCCCCTCACACACTGGTGGTCAACGCCGCCCCAATCCTCCCCCTCACACACTGGGGGTCAACGCCGCCCCCAATCCTCCCCCCCTCACACACTGGTGGTCAACACCGCCCCAATCCTCCCCCCTCACACACTGGTGGTCAACGCCGCCCGAATCCTCCCGCCTCACACACTGGTGGTCAACGGCGCCCCCAATCCTCCCCCCTCACACACTGGGGGTCAACGCCGCCCCAATCCTCCCCCTCACACACTGGTGGTCAACGCCGCCCCCAATCCTTCCCCCCCTCACACACTGGTGGTCAACGCCGCCCCCAATCCTCCCCCCTCACACACTGGTGGTCAACGCCGCCCCCAATCCTCCCCCCTCACACACTGATGGTCAACGCCGCCCCCAATCCTCCCCCCCTCACACACTGGTGGTGAACGCCGCCCCAATCCTCCCCCCTCACACACTGGTGGTGAACGCCGCCCCCAATCCTCCCCCCTCACACACTGGTGGTCAACGCCGCCCCCAATCCTCCCCCCTCACACACTGGTGGTCAACGCCGCCCCCAATCCTCCCCCTCACACACTGGTGGTCAACGCCGCCCCCAATCCTCCCCCCTCACACACTGGGGGTCAACGCCGCCCCCAATCCTCCCCCCTCACACACTGGTGGTGAACGCCGCCCCAATCCTCCCCCCTCACACACTGGTGGTCAACGCCGCCCCCAATCCTCCCCCCCTCACACACTGGTGGTCAACGCCGCCTCAATCCTCCCCCTCACACACTGGTGGTCAACGCCGCCCCCAATCCTCCCCCTCACACACTGGTGGTCAACGCCGCCCCCAATCCTCCCCCCCTCACACACTGGTGGTCAACGCCGCCCCAATCCTCCCCCTCACACACTGGTGGTCAACGCCGCCCCCAATCCTCCCCCCTCACACACTGGGGGTCAACGCCGCCCCCAATCCTCCCCCCTCACACACTGGTGGTGAACGCCGCCCCAATCCTCCCCCCTCACACACTGGTGGTCAACGCCGCCCCCAATCCTCCCCCCCTCACACACTGGTGGTCAACGCCGCCCCAATCCTCCCCCTCACACACTGGTGGTCAACGCCGCCCCCAATCCTTCCCCCTCACACACTGGGGTCAACGCCGCCCCCAATCCTCCCCCCTCACACACTGGTGGTGAACGCCGCCCCAATCCTCCCCCCTCACACACTGGTGGTCAACGCCGCCCCCAATCCTCCCCCCCTCACACACTGGTGGTCAACGCCGCCCCAATCCTCCCCCTCACACACTGGTGGTCAACGCCGCCCCCAATCCTCCCCCCTCACACACTGGTGGTCAACGCCGCCCCCAATCCTCCCCCCCTCACACACTGGTGGTCAACGCCGCCCCAATCCTCCCCCTCACACACTGGTGGTCAACGCCGCCCCCAATCCTCCCCCCTCACACACTGGGGGTCAACGCCGCCCCCAATCCTCCCCCCTCACACACTGGTGGTGAACGCCGCCCCAATCCTCCCCCTCACACACTGGTGGTCAACGCCGCCCCCAATCCTCCCCTCCTCACACACTGGTGGTCAACGCCGCCCCAATCCTCCCCCTCACACACTGGTGGTCAACGCCGCCCCCAATCCTTCCCCCTCACACACTGGTGGTCAACGCCGCCCCCAATCCTCCCCCCTCACACACTGGTGGTGAACGCCGCCCCAATCCTCCCCCCTCACACACTGGTGGTCAACGCCGCCCCCAATCCTCCCCCCTCACACACTGGTGGTCAACACCGCCCCAATCCTCCCCCTCACACTCTGGGGGTCAACACCGCCCCAATCCTCCCCCTCACACACTGGGGGTCAACGCCGCCCCCAATCCTCCCCCCTCACACACTGGGGGTCAACGCCGCCCCCAATCCTCCCCCCTCACACACTGGTGGTGAACGCCGCCCCAATCCTCCCCCCTCACACACTGGTGGTCAACGCCGCCCCCAATCCTCCCCTCTCACACACTGGTGGTCAACGCCGCCCCAATCCTCCCCCCTCACACACTGGGGGTCAACGCCGCCCCCAATCCTCCCCCCCTCTCACACTGGGGGTCAACGCCGCCCCCAATCCTCCCCCCCTCTCACACTGGGGGTCAACGCCGCCCCCAATCCTCCCCCCCTCTCACACTGGTGGTCAACGCCGCCCCCAATCCTCCCCCACACACTGGTGGTCAACGCCGTCATTAACTTACCTACGGAACAGTGTCTGGAGGTGCCAAGGCAGGCGTAGACGAGGACAGGGAAGAATGCCATGTATATCCCGGTGATGGGCGGCAGACCCCCCAGGACAGCTGACGCCATTCCTGTATCACCTCAACCAATCATCTACTCGCCCACATATTCTAATCTTTAATTAAAACATTTAATATAATTTTAGGCCTCAGATTACCTCAACCACTTACGAGCCCATATGCTCAAGTTGTCTTAACTATAATAAATACTTGTATTGCTTCAGACTATCACTGCAGAACCTGCACAATAAAGTTAAGCAAGTTTAATAAACTGTATAATATTATTTATGAATTTTCCTATACTAATTGTAAAAGACTTTAGAGAATATGTGCAAAATTATGTACCAGAGAAAGTCACTTCAAGTATTTATTGAGCCAATATGCATGTTTTTACGGGCTCACCATAGCCCGTGCTTCTTGGAACTCTCTGTTCCCAGTAGCTGAATCTTAAAAACAACATGTTTTTCGGTCTATAATTTACTGTAACAATATTTTTAATTCATTTAAATGTACAAAACTAGACAATTTGCAACAGGAAGTCAGCTCGACATTAATGTTTACATTAATGTCGAGGCCATTACTGCGGGGGAGACCGTTGTCGCAGGTGCCATTGCGATTTCGGTCTGATTCACGTATTTGCAACATTTTAAGCAAATTCACCGTCGCATACAGTGCCTTAACGAGTTGTAATGCATTAGAGTTAAATATTTGTAAACATATCACAGCCCAGCTGGAGTTGCCGGCTGGTGTCAGAGTTGCCGGTTGGTGTCAGAGTTGCCGGCTGGTGTCAGAGTTGCCGGCTGGTGTCAGAGCCCCGCAGGTTGTCGAGCGCCGCCAATCACAGGTTGTGGATACCATACTTCAGCACTGGGAAGTTATTATCAAGTGAGGACTTCCTTCACTCCTCGACTCCCTTCACACGGAAGAGGGTACGGCAGGATGGGAAGCCCTTCCCATACCTCGCAGGCAGGATGGTAAGCCCTTCCCATACCTCCCCCAGGCAGGATGGGAAGCCCTTCCCATACCTCCCCCAGGCAGGATGGTAAGCCCTTCCCATACCTCCCAGGCAGGATGGGAAGCCCCTCCCATACCTCCCAGGCAGGATGGGAAGCCCTTCCCATACCTCCCCCAGGCAGGATGGGAAGCCCCTCCCATACCTCCCAGGCAGGATGGGAAGCCCTTCCCATACCTCCCAGGCAGGATGGGAAGCCCCTCCCAAACCTCCCAGGCAGGATGGGAAGCCCTTCCCATACCTCCCCCAGGCAGGATGGGAAGCCCCTCCCATACCTCCCAGGCAGGATGGGAAGCCCCTCCCATACCTCCCAGGCAGGATGGGAAGCCCCTCCCATACCTCCCAGGCAGGATGGGAAGCCCCTCCCATACCTCCCAGGCAGGATGGGAAGCCCCTCCCATACCTCCCAGGCAGGATGGGAAGCCCCTCCCATACCTCCCAGGCAGGATGGTAAGCCCCTCCCATACCTCCCAGGCAGGATGGTAAGCCCTTCCAATACCTCCCAGGCAGGATGGGAAGCCCCTCCCATACCTCCCCCAGGCAGGATGGGAAGCCCTTCCCATACCTCCCAGGCAGGATGGTAAGCCCTTCCCATACCTCCCCCAGGCAGGATGGGAAGCCCCTCCCATACCTCCCAGGCAGGATGGGAAGGCAGGATCTCTGACACAAACTAGACAAGTTACCATCTTTAAAACAAATCAAAACTATACCAGGATTAAAAAAGGTTTGCCTATCAAACTTTTTCCTTGTGTACAAAATGTTCCGTGCAGGACAATGACAACACTGGCCTTGTGGTATGTGCATAATGGCGACGGTAATACCAGCGACGACGTCCCCCATGAGCGAGGCTCGGAGGCCGTAGGAGGGCAGCCAGGAGAGGATAGGCACCTTAGAGGTCACCGCCGACATCCAACAGCTCCCCGAACATGTGCACGACTCTTTGGCTTTGCTTTGAATGCTTTCAAATATGCCTGTGTAAAAAATATAAAAATTACTTTTAATATTCATTATCATTGAATAGCATATAATGTTTCCATACAAAACACTCCAGTGGGCCACCACCACGAGGCCCTCTGACTACACTTGCGTGCTGGAACAAACAATATGTTTCAGACATGTGAAATACTGTAGAAACTTAACATAAAATAGAATACACATATACAACTATTTGAACACATTAGACGAGAGGAAAAATCTATATTAAATTTGGAATATAGTGTCAAACAGGTAATTAAATAGAGCCCCATGTAGAAACAATTAGAATTGGACTGAAAATAGTGTGTCTATTGGCAGGACATTTATATACAGGCCACCAAACCCACAAAGGCAGGCAGGCATTTATATAGGCATAAATATGCTAGGTCTTAATATTACTTAAAATTACGAATGTTATTTTTAATTACATCAACAGAGTCAATAAAGCTGGGAATGCAAAGGCAGATTTGTCTTTTTTTTATAACACATTGATTGGTTTTTAATCCTTGGAGCTGCATCCAGCCTGTCCCAGGTGGACCACCGCATCCAGCCTGTCCCAGGTGGACCACCGCATCCAGCCTGTCCCAGGTGGACCACCGCATCCAGCCTGTCCCAGGTGGACCACCGCATCCAGCCTGTCCCAGGTGGACCACCGCATCCAGCCTGTCCCAGGTGGACCACCGCATCCAGCCTGTCCCAGGTGGACCACCGCATCCAGCCTGTCCCAGGTGGACCACCGCATCCAGCCTGTCCCAGGTGGACCACCGCATCCATGCAGCCTGTCCCAGCTGGACCACCGCATCCATGCAGCCTGTCCCAGGTGGACCACCGCATCCAGCCTGTCCCAGGTGGACCACCGCATCCAGCCTGTCCCAGGTGGACCACCGCATCCAGCCTGTCCCAGGTGGACCACCGCATCCAGCCTGTCCCAGCTGGACCACCGCATCCAGCCTGTCCCAGGTGGACCACCGCATCCAGCCTGTCCCAGGTGGACCACCGCATCCAGCCTGTCCCAGGTGGACCACCGCATCCAGCCTGTCCCAGGTGGACCACCGCATCCATGCAGCCTGTCCCAGCTGGACCACCGCATCCAGCCTGTCCCAGGTGGACCACCGCATCCAGCCTGTCCCAGGTGGACCACCGCATCCAGCCTGTCCCAGGTGGACCACCGCATCCATGCAGCCTGTCCCAGCTGGACCACCGCATCCAGCCTGTCCCAGGTGGACCACCGCATCCATGCAGCCTGTCCCAGCTGGACCACCGCATCCATCCAGCCTGTCCCAGGTGGACCACCGCATCCATCCAGCCTGTCCCAGGTGGACCACCGCATCCATCCAGCCTGTCCCAGGTGGACCACCGCATCCATCCAGCCTGTCCCAGGTGGACCACCGCATCCATCCAGCCTGTCCCAGGTGGACCACCGCATCCAGCCTGTCCCAGGTGGACCACCGCATCCATGCAGCCTGTCCCAGCTGGACCACCGCATCCATGCAGCCTGTCCCAGGTGGACCACCGCATCCATGCAGCCTGTCCCAGCTGGACCACCGCATCCATCCAGCCTGTCCCAGGTGGACCACCGCATCCATCCAGCCTGTCCCAGGTGGACCACCGCATCCATCCAGCCTGTCCCAGGTGGACCACCGCATCCATCCAGCCTGTCCCAGGTGGACCACCGCATCCATCCAGCCTGTCCCAGGTGGACCACCGCATCCATCCAGCCTGTCCCAGGTGGACCACCGCATCCATGCAGCCTGTCCCAGGTGGACCACCGCATCCATGCAGCCTGTCCCAGGTGGACCACCGCATCCATGCAGCCTGTCCCAGCTGGACCACCGCATCCATGCAGCCTGTCCCAGCTGGACCACCGCATCCATCCAGCCTGTCCCAGCTGGACCACCGCATCCATCCAGCCTGTCCCAGGTGGACCACCGCATCCATCCAGCCTGTCCCAGGTGGACCACCGCATCCATCCAGCCTGTCCCAGGTGGACCACCGCATCCATCCAGCCTGTCCCAGGTGGACCACCGCATCCATGCAGCCTGTCCCAGGTGGACCACCGCATCCATGCAGCCTGTCCCAGGTGGACCACCGCATCCAGCGTGAAGTGGGGTGGGGGGGGGAGGCGTGATGAGAAGAGAGGCAGAGGTGATGGGGGGGGGAGAGGCAGAGGTGATGGGGGGGGAGAGGCAGAGGTGATGGGGGGGGGGTAGGCAGAGGTGATGGGGGGGGGTAGGCAGAGGTGATGGGGGGGGAGAGGCAGAGGTGATGGGGGGGGAGAGGCAGAGGTGATGGGGGGGAGAGGCAGAGGTGATGGGGGGGGGGAGAGGCAGAGGTGATGGGGGGGGGGAGAGGCAGAGGTGATGGGGGGGGAGAGGCAGAGGTGATGGGGGGGGAGAGGCAGAGGTGATGGGGGGGAGAGGCAGAGGTGATGGGGGGGGAGAGGCAGAGGTGATGGGGGGGGAGAGGCAGAGGTGATGGGGGGGGAGAGGCAGAGGTGATGGGGGGGAGAGGCAGAGGTGATGGGGGGGGGGAGAGGCAGAGGTGATGGGGGGGGGGAGAGGCAGAGGTGATGGGGGGGAGAGGCAGAGGTGATGGGGGGGGGGAGAGGCAGAGGTGATGGGGGGGGGGAGAGGCAGAGGTGATGGGGGGGGGAGAGGCAGAGGTGATGGGGGGGGAGAGGCAGAGGTGATGGGGGGGGGGAGAGGCAGAGGTGATTGGGGGGGGGAGAGGCAGAGGTGATGGGATAGGTCAAGTGCTTGTATGTAGCCCGCCAGAGCTACTGTCGTAATGGCTCAAAATAATGGCAATGGCTCTCAATTGCCCAGATTGAGTACCTCAATGTGTATGTAAACAAATAATGTCGTACAGTTCTTAGAAATTTAAGGAAAGTTTGAGAAGATTCTGAAGTCGATTGTCACAATCGACTTGAGAATGGTCCAGGACGGACCTTTACGTCGTCGTCCCTTCACCTTCTAGTGTGTGGTCTGGTCAACACTTTCCTTACATTACCTGGGTTGTGTGGTGGGGAGTAGTGGCACTTGCTAGCGCGATCCTTTACATTGAGCGATGGTCGGCCGACCAGTACGTCCTGGGTCACGCTCAGCTCCAGTCCCGACTCTCGGCTGCTGCTGTAGCTACAGCTTCTAGCTACATCACCAGCCCGGCTGCTGCTGTAGCTACAGCTGCTGGCTGCATCACCAGCATCGATCCCAGACTCTCTGCTGGAGCTTGCTCCGACATCCCTGTACCAAAATTTGGGGAACAATAATTTGGAAAAATATAAGCTGCAGCTAATTCTGTTTATTGTTGAATAATAAACAAAGTTACTAGGATAGGTTTATATGTAAATGTTTGACGATAGAGATCCAATTTCAGTCAAATTACTGATGACTTTAATCTGCTGATCTGAACAGTCCAATAAGGTTCGTGTTTAATAAACGGTGCATAAATATACACACACACACACACACAGAAGAGCCCCCCATGGTGCAGAAAATGAACGAACTTACCCACATATTCCCAAAGTAAATCACTGCTACCATTATCTTCTTGGTCCCCCCCCCAAATGTTGCTATTCCAAGTACGTACTCTTGATAATCAGATTCCTGACACTTTCACTTCCTTAAAGCTCCAGTGTAGTTGTAGCAGTACACCACCACCTCCCATTGTGTGATCCCAACTGTGACCTATTGGAGGAGAGACCTATGGAGATATGGTTTCCTCCACTCTTCCATAGGTAATCCATTGAGACTATAGGAGCTTGTCAAGGCACTCCAAACCGAGAAGCTGGCATTCTTAGCTGGAGAAACGTGATAGACAAGCTAAGTCAAAACCACCCATCAGAAAGTGAAGGAACGACGATGTTCCAGTTTTTTATGAGTGATTTGGTCATCGTATCCCCAGCCACTGTATTGTGACTTGTCGACTACAAGACAGACGTGTGCTAGTTCTCTCCCAAGAACAGGGGTAAGAATTACAGCACACACCGTTGCGGTAATTGAGATCCCTCAGCGTGATTTCGAGACTATTACACCTTGGATTTTGCGAGAGGAACTATATACACAAGTTGGGACTGTGGGAGAAGGGGTGAGAGATATTGTTAACACATGGACCATGGGAAGATTAATGGGGCTGTAATCATAGATTCATATCTGAGTTTGTGTCTGGCAAACGGGGAACAAGACCTGACAAAACTATGAAGTAGCTACAAGATCAGCTAAAAAATCGAAGGAAAAGCAAATCTTTAAAGCAACAGTAATAGATACTGTAAAAAGCCAATTGACTAATAAATTGCACAAGGCAGGAATTGGAGAGGGAGAAATCGGTGGTAAATTATTTTCTACCGAGTCGGAGGGTAACACATGGCAGAGGATATGACAGTGGGAACCAGAAAGATTAAGATAAAGAAAAAACTTGCCAAAATACAGGATAATGGGGCAACCTGGGGACATTAAACAACACTGTAGGCTTGGTATGTTCAAATGGAATAGAAATGGGCAGTGAAAGTAATTTTTCAGAATATCACTCATGAAATTTAAACTTGCTGAAGAGTGGAAAGTGAGGGGCAGAGGGGATTACCATAAGGTATTCACTGGAAAAACAATTCAGGAGGAGTATAGAGAAGCAGCGGGGAAAATAAGATAATTGAAATAAGAAACGTTATAGTTATCCACGTATGGCACACACCTCTTCCCATTTGTCACGAGTCATACTTCCGCTGTACATAGGTAGTAGTAGTAGTAGTTAAAGTTATATTTTAGTATGCTTTGAGGGAGGCAAGAAACCTCAGTTTTTAATTAATCCTGTTTTAAGTTGGGTAAGGGGGAGGCAGAGCTTAGGTTTTGGACAAACACGGTGATTGTCTTGGCCTGAGAGGGTTTTCCCCACCGAGTGATGCTTTGAAAAAGCGGAATTGGTATTCCCGGTTTGAGAAGGCGATGGTTGGTTAGGCGATGGTTGGTTAGGCGATGGTTGGTTAGGTGATGGTTGGTTTGGTGTTGGTGGACATGACCAATGAGGGAGTGACGTGACTGAGCCACCCGAGGCTGGGTGCGATGCCCTGACAAAACCGTCACTGCACTCTGACCCATTGCCTGGAGAGGTCGCGCCTAGTGTAGCTCCAGCAAGACGGGGATTAACCCTTAATTATATTATCTTGGCTGATAATATTCGAGAAATTGAGAAGAGACATCGTGAAGTTTCATAAGGAAGTTTTGGAGTGCTAGACCTGCAGGTTGCAGACAACAGCAGTCTGAATCACAGTAATCCCCCTGCACACTTGACACGGGGGCCGTGGACCCGAGTGACAGCTTGCTAACAGTTTGTTATTTCTCGGTGCAATCTGGCGAGAGAAGTGTGCAGTTCTGGTCATCATTCTTCAGTTGCTGGGAAGTTATGGCAAGAGAAGCGTGCAGCGAACCTGCAGCCCTGCCACCTGGAAGGTTTCAGTGACCTGTGAGGAGCAACGAGAGTCTGGGACCCTTGTGACTCTCAGAAGGAATCGACGCTGCAAACAATTTCCAGCTGGGAGGAGTGTGCTTCCCAAGCGAGGAAGTGAATGCCAGTAGAAGTGGAATACTTGCCTCGACTTGCTGACTCTGACCAGAAAGTTGAAGCAGTGAGCATAAGAAATATTGCTGGAACAACCGTGGACATTTTCAAGAGGAAACTAGATTTATTCCTCAAAGAAGTGCCGGACCAACCGGCTGTGGTGGGTATGTGGGCCTGCGGGCCGCTCCAAGCAACAGCCTGGTGGACCAAACTCTCACAAGTCGAGCCTGGCCTCGGGCCGGGCTTGGGGAGTAGAAGAACTCCCAGAACCCCATCAACCAGGTATCAACCAGTGATGCGATACAGCTGCCAGTTTAGAGAGAACCCTCAGTGACTGTAGAGTAGTCGACAGTGACGTAAACAGTCAACTCACTCATCGCAGAAAAGGACAGGGAGACAAGCCATTGTGATTACCAACAGCAGCGTAGAGGATGAGGATTGTGAGGGAGATTTACTTCTTGTAGCGGGGTGTGTGTGGGGGGGGGGGGGGGGGGGGTAGAAATAGCCTAAACTACTCTATCCCTTTGAGATGTATTTTTTCCCGTCTCAATAAACATACTTGAACTTGTGGTAGCAATATTTATTTTAATTCATTAGATTTCAATAGCATAAATTTCAGTTAATTGTCTGTTTAATTAGATTATATTTTATAGAAAATAGTGAACTATATTTAAGAAAAAATCATTCCTCGCATACCTAGGTGGGTTTTATATAAATAAACTAAAATAAATCGGTTAGTTGTTCCTATTGAAATCTTCAGATTACTTTAATGAGCTAAATTTGAGTATTGCTAATAAGGAAAATGCACGTCAGTTTAGCTGAAAGAAGCGTAGATTAGCCTGGACGCGTCAGTCACCTAAGGCCAATATCTCTCTGGGGACGAGCCTTATTCTGGAAAATACCAAACTCAGTCACTTGGATACTGGACATTAGCCGACCGACGAGTTACATTATAATTCAAATCACAAATATTGTTCACTTTATTCAATCGCAAATCAATGCGATATATGCGTCTAGCCCTGGAGGTTGGTGCCTCTTTCCTCCTAACGATACTCTATGTGGCCACACTGTTATTTTAGGAGCAAGTACGGGACAGAGGGACGTTCTTTGTTACGCGCGAGATCGGTGAGCAGTGGTATCATCGGAGTTTCGTTAATACGAAATAAAATCCAGCACTTCTACATGCGTGTGTCAGCCAGTGGCGGCGAGTACTCGCTTCTTCCCGGCCGGGAGCATTCATGTCCCATATAATTTTTTCATATTCCCGGAAGGAAAGATATTTAAATTAGCTTTATTTATATTAAAATTTGTTTTAATTTATTCTCAATTCATGCTGTAAACAGTCGCCAGACTGTACGCATTAAGTTTAAGCACAGATAAATACATTTGGTGCTCTATAGGTTTGAGGAAGGTGACGTTTTCTCCATAATGAATGGAGGAATGAAATGCGATTCTTTGTGTCGGATAAATCGGACTTAATGATGATATTAATATTGATAAATTTTACACAGAGTCATCTTACCGCATGGGCGCAATTGGCACTTGTCCGGGGGGGGGGGGAGGGTCATGAACATAGAACATGTTCATTATGGAACTAGAATATTTTAATATTTAGGTCTAGTTGCAAGCACATTTATATAATATAACCCTACATAATGTTGTGGGACTAAATTCTAAATATTTAAGATATATATTTGCAGGTAAATAACCCTTTCAACTGAAATGACACAATGTTTTGACCCTTTCATGGAAGAACATCTCAAAATGTATGGAAATCCTGGAAGAGGTAATCTCTCGTATTTATCTGCAAATATTTGTGAGGAATTTATTGAATTAATGGGACAAGTTCTTTGTACGATTCCTAAAGTAAAAGTGTCAAAGTATTATTCATTAAGTGCAGAGTCCACTCCAAGACATCTCGCACACGGATCATCTGACATTTACAGCCATTAAAGGCTGTGAACCTGTGGAAAGTTTCTTTATGTTCATTCTCATCTTTTTATGGAGCAAAAGATCTAACACCGTCGTGAATTTTCTAAATGAGAAAATTCCAGTATCAAACTGTCATGGTCAGTCATACGATAATGCCTCAAATAAGTCTGAACGATATACTGGATTGCAAGCACGGATTCATTGCCATCTATGTGCCCTGTGCTGGACACGGCCTGAACTTGGTGGGAGTCAAAGCAGCAGTGTTGTCTACAGATTGTCAAATTATCTGACTTTGTTCAGCATCTGTAATCATTTTTTGCTATTTCTACTCATCGCTGGAATGTATTGACATCATCTTTAGGAAAAGATTTTGTGGTCAAGCGTCTCTGACACACGATGGTCAGCACATTTGGATTCTGTTCATGTTCTTTATGAGAGTTTCGAGAAAATAAAACATGCATTGGATTCTATATTAGCTGACAATGAACAGCAAGTGAATACAAGGCGAGAGGCAAGACTGAGCCAAAAAATGGAAAACCTTTTAACAATCTTATTCAGTTCCTTGGAATGATATGCTAGATTGAACAAAAAAACAAGGTCCTACAATGAAAGGATGTGAACATCCTTGTTGCCACGAATCATCTTGAGTCTATGAAAACC